GAACCTGAGCCAAAGCCCGTTGAAGTCAAAATTGAACACCACAGTGCCTAGCACAGTTACTGGGGGCAGGGGCTCTTGGGTAATTTTCAAAGTCAGAGCACTTCATCATGTGATGGTGATACTGGGACAGGATGAAAAAGTGGAGCTGTGATGAATGGGGCATCCATTCCAAACAAGGGAGAAAACAGAGAGGACGATGCCGATTCTGTTGGCTCTGAGCCAAAGACCACCACCAGCCAGTACAACCACCATCTGCTTCACCACCAGGCCCTTACCCTACCTTATTGTGAATGGTCTTTCTACTTTCCTTGGCTATCCTGTTCTTGTAAGCAGCAGAGATATTAAGGTGTATGAGAATCCTTTTTGTTGGAGCATTTAGCCAGGGCTGGCTCTAGGTTTTTTGCCGCCCCAAGCAAAAAATTTGCCACCCCAAGAGTGCAACTTCCCAAGCAAAAAAACAAACAAACAAACAAAAAAACCCACGGGTGGCCGGAATGCTGCCCCTGGAATTGTGCCACCCCAAGTACATGCTTACTTTGCTGGTGCCTAGAGCCAGTCCTGCATTTAGCAATTAAGATTCTTGAACATTTAAACAGAAGATCAGAATAATTGCTCAGATACGTTAGTGATAGGCAGCAGTGCAAACCTCTATGACAGATAAATAGTAGGTTAGCAGATTTACCGTGTGATTTGCATACTTATACTTCTCAAACAAACTAAACATGGCTAATAGGTATAATTGTATGCCTACTAGCCATTACATTATACTGGTAATGTCACTGAACTTAAGTATATTTCTAAACTCCCAATGTAGCAGCTTAGTTAATGCTTAGCAGAATCTTAATAACTTAGGACTTTGCACCACTTTCTAAACACAGCTGCTTCTCTCCCCCACCTCCAGACCCATAGATACTCATGTGGTAGCTTCTTGTGAAAATATCTGCCTACAAACATACCTCACACATGAGGTACAAATCAAATTAGTGTGTTATTTTAGATAAATGTTCTCAGTTGGAGTATAACATTAAAAGTCTAATTTCCCTTAGTTGGTAAGATGCCTTGTCAGCAGTTTCCAGCTATTTGAAGTCAAATTTTTCCATTTAGGCCCGGCGGCTTGGTAAGAAGCCCAAAGTTTATTTTTATTCAACAAAAAGTGGTACTTTAGTTCCATATGATTTCTTTTTTCTTTCCAGAGCTAACATTTGTCGGTAGCTGGGCTTGATTACACTCCATTGCAAATAAATTATTTTCTTCTGCTATTTAGTGGCACATATAATAATTTAATAATTGGTTTAAATATGCAATGATTGTTGCAGTGTCTCCAACACATCATTAGCCATACTGTCCCAGTGTTATTTGCTGAGAATTGTGCTGTGGTAGCAGATAGTTTAATATTGAAATCGTTATGGTAGAGACTTGATTTGAAGTAGTCAGTATAAAGTGACTTGTATATTTATATTACATTAAAATATGGAAAGAGAGGTTTGTATTGTGAAACATCTGTGCATTCTATCATGTTGGGTTTTCCATAATATTTCCATTTGGATTATATTCAGATTTTTTTATTGAATGAAAAAGCCAAGGCTTGGGAGCAGAAACTTTAGAGTAGACAGAAAATTGGTGTAATTTACTTTTGAAGACAAATCTTTTTTCAGTCTTCCAGGAAAATTACTCTTTGGGGTCCAAATTCTGCCCTGACTTAATGGACTGAAATCAGTGAGTTTGCATGGAGTGTATATCAGGATGAATCTGGCTCTTTTAGCATAACAGGGTAAAGTTACACTGAAAGATGCAGTAGTGAGTTATTTTTCCTTATGACAATAAATAATTCAACTGTAACAAAAAGCTGGATCTTAAAATGTTGTTTTTGAAATCAAGAGTGCCTCTGTGTGCGTATCATATTTAGAGTGGCAGGCTAGAAGGATTGAAGGAATTTGTGTTCAAGTTTGGATGGAAAAACCAGAGAAAGGTGATGAGATATCCAAGGGATCCTTGTCTGGATCACATACTAGCAATGGGTTAGGTTTAGAAAAATAAGATTGTACAAATGTATTCTGTTTATTAAAGATACAACCACTAAGAACATTTTAATAAAATCCCAGCAACTGTGTCCTTTCATCAATAAACCAAAATGGAATTATTCTTTCACTGATTCAGAATTAATGGGAGACCATGTTTATTTAATCCATTGATTATTGCTACAACGATATCATTCAAACCTTCAGCCTTTATACAAGTAGTCCTACCAACTCCAATGGGATTAAGCTCCGTCCATGCATCTGAAGAAGTGTGTTTTTTACCCACGAAAGTTTATGCCCAAATAAATCTGTTAGTCTTTAAGGTGCCACCACACTCCTCGTTGTTTTTGTGGATACAGACTAACACGGCTACCCCTCTGATATCCAATGGGATTGTGTCGGATCAGGGTTTAAATAAAGACAGATGCCTAGCAAGATTAAACCATGGCATATAAATTGGAACCAATCTGAAAACCCTTCCAGGCATAGTTCTGCATTGAAATCAGCTCACAATTATAAACTTCTCGCCTGATAGTATTTGCAAAGATGAGCCTGTTCTGTGGAGGTTGGATTAGGGTTGAAACTTCCCCCGCATTCAAAGAGGTTTGATTCTGGTACTATGGCTCTGGTCAATCTCAAATATATTAGTGGGTACTTGTCACTGGGTAAAGCTTACCTGTGGTGCAGAGGGCTGGCTCAAGGCCCTCCTCCCTGCTTAAGCCTAGAACAGAGATTGGTTTGGGGGAACCTCTTGCTAAGCAGCCATTCAGGGGAGCCATTGCAGCCTTGCTCACTGCAGGAAGGCCTTAGGGAGATCAGTAAGGAATTCCACATAGAGTACACGTCGAAGTAGGCGCTGCATCTGTGTGTGTAGGGATTTTTGTTTATAGCTACAACTTTGCCATTGCATAAAGAAAAAAAACTAGGGCTCTAGCTATTCCAGTAGCATATTTTAGCTCACATTAATAAATGTACCCAGATGTCACATTGAACACAGCAAACTCCATAGACCTAATCCTCCAGGCTGTTTCATTAATTTTAAACCAATGAGCTCTATTAAAGTCAACAGAGTTATATGGGCATGAAACTGGTGTATTAAAGTGAGCATCAGACTTCTAGCTTACACCTTCTTGCTTATACAGACTAAGGAGCTGTTTAGTGCACTCCAAGAAATGTGAGGACAACCAGCTATGAAGAACAATACAACAGGAGTCTGGCAAAACTTAGTACAGAAAAGATAACACCTCCAGCCTACAATTACTACACTTTATGTTGTAAATACATGACAGATTAGTTGTAAATAAATACAGTGGGGGCAGTTGACAGGTATATTCTCACACCATTCAGGAAGATGGGTGCTGGTAGCAATGATAGCAGCCAAATCTATAATTCTGAGGCACTGGAAAGAGAGAAGGGCTGAAAACAATGTCAGACATTTCCTAAATGGGGACATGTTATGAAAAACCTGTGTGCAATTCTTAACCTATTACTATAATAAAGATGTTATGGAAATGGAAAAGATACAACAAAGAACAATTGGAATGATAGAGGGACTTGATTATTCTACCTGATGCTTTAGGTGAGCCAGGGGTCCAAGTCACATAGGTGTAAATTCCATTGATTGAAGTTGGACCCATAATGTTTCCTGAAAAACAAGCAAACAAAAACTCTTAAGTGTCTGAATTAATCAAGCAGTGGAAAGTGATTTATTTCTGGTAAATCCAATAAACCCTATATGCATAAATGCCCTTGCATTAGTGGCGGAATAGACTTCTCTTTGGTGTATACAGACTTATAGAAGGAAGTGAGAGGATAGCTGTTTGGGGGCAGTGTCAAATATAAGGATAAGGGGATATGAACAAGTAAAGAAAGGGTGAAGGACTCAAGAAATTTAGAAGGAATTTTTTCACATAGATTTAACATCAGGAAAAAATTACCCAAGGTTTCATTATTTGCCTATAAATGAGTTACTTGAGCTTTTGGGATGAAGATGGATTGTGAGGCATAATTGCTAGTTTGGAAGATAAAGCTAACCTAGATTAACTACAAAGCACTGAAGCACATGCTTAATTTTAATTTTAATGCTTAATTTTAAGCATGTAAGTAATTCCATCCTTGTTCAGCAAAGTATTCAAGATCGAGTGTCTTGCTGAGTAGGGTTGAGATTGCTCATGTATTTAAAAGTTGTAGCCGTGTTAGTCTGTATCAGCAAAAAGAACGAGGAGTACTTGTGGCACCTTAGAGACTAACAGATTTACACTTCAACCTCCCTGGTCACTCTATTACAGACCTAAAAGTCGCAATTATTCAACAAAAAACCTTCAAAAACAGATTCCAACGAGAAACTGCAGAACTGGAATTAATTTGCAAAATGGACATCATTAAATTAGGCTTGAATAAAGACTGGGAGTGGATGAGTCATTACACAAACTAAACTATTTCCCCATGCTAATTTTCCCCCTACTGTTACTCACATCTTCTTGTCAACTGTTTGAAATGGGCCATCCTCATTATCACTACAAATGTTTTTTGTCTCCTGCTAGTAGCCCACCTTATTCGATTAGTCTCATTAGAGTTGGTATGGCAACACCCATTTTTTTCATGTTCTCTGTATGTATATATATATATATATATATATATATATATATATATCTTCCTACTGTATTTTCCATTGCATGCATCTGATAAAGTGGGCTTTAGCCCATGAAAACTTATGCTCAAATAAATGTGTTAGTCTCTAAGGTGCCACAAGTACTCCTTGTTCTTCATGTATTTAAAGTTAACCATGGTCTTAAGTGTTTTGCTGAACAAGGGCCTTAATCTTCCTCATAAAAGAATGACTGTATTTCATTTGAGCTGGTGTTCTTGTGAACATTTTAATTTTATTCTCTCAGCATTTTATTTTTCTGTTCCTATTTCGCTATAATATTCGCTAGCTGTGTCTTAGTCATAGTCCCTCTCTTATGACTTCCTTTCTTGCAGACCGTGGCTCACCTCGTGATTTGGTTATTAGAGACATAACTGACACTACAATGGGACTATCTTGGACAGCAGCTCCAGGAGCAGTTCGTCGTTATAGAATAGTATGGAAATCGCTTTATGATGGTCAGACTGGGGAGAGCACAGTTCCTGGAAATGTAATAAATACTGAGCTGGAAAATTTACAGCCAGAGACTAAATATAAGATTTCAGTCATTGCTTCTTATAACAGTGGAGACGGAGCTCCTCTAGAAGGAGAGGCTACTACTGAAGGTAAGTGCAATACAGCATACCCCAAAGAACAGCCTGAATTGTGACCTGGGATATTGTGACACTTATTATCCCACGCACAAACTCTTGATACTCCTATTAATGCAACTTACATTGACAAGAGACTAGACCTTATTTTTTATTAACGCCTCTCCTTAAAAAAACCCAACCAAACCCTTGCCCATCTCAACTCAATGAAGTACCATCCCCCCACTTTTTTTTCTGAGCTATGATTATTTATAATCATAGGTCATTTATATCTCATGGAACCAGATTCAGCTACTTTTATTCATGTTAAATTGTACCCTACTCTGCAAAGAGTCCCATTGAAATTAACGGGGTTACTTATGAGTAAGCTAGAGTTCAACGTGAATGAGAGTGGCAGAATCTGGGGATAGTTCCTCGGGCTTTGTGGGTTGGAGGGTGTGGTTGTTGGGGGAGAAACAGGAGGCAGGGCTGGCTCCAGGCACTAGCTCAGGGCGGCCAACAGAAAGGAGCAGCATGTCCAGGTCTTCGGTGGCAATTCGGCGGCGGGTCCCTCGGTCCCTCTCCGAGGGAAGGTCCGGCCACTGAATTGCCGCCAAAGAATGAAGCGGCTGCAGTAGAGCAGCCGCCGAAGTGCCGCCGATCGCATTTTCTTTTCTTTTCGTCGCGCTTGGGGTGGCAAAAAAGGTGGAGCCGGCCCTGACGGGAGGAACAAGTGACCAGGGTAGAGAGGAAAGTCAGAGTTCATTCCATTGGGGTTAGTAATTTTCCTGCCCTGTGATTTCCTCCTCCCAGGCTCAGGTGAGTGGGTTTGAAGTTGGCTACATCTCTTACTCACAGTTCTACATTTTTCTTATGTGACCAACACCACATAGTATTAATCTTCCTAATGTTACAGCTGTTTGAAAGTGAACAGACCAGAATGGAAAGACTAGATGACCCTTGCAGTCCCTTCTAAGCCTATGGTTCTATGATTCTATGGCCAGTTCCAAATGCTGAGAGAGGTTATTTCAGCATTCTGTGGCATACCTCTCAGTGAAGTGAAAACCGACTCTGACTCTGGCATGCCAAGAAGGCTCTGCATTGCCAAAACCTAGGGTGGCATGCCCAAGCTGACAGCCAGCACCAGACATACCTTCCATTTTACTTCAGGTTTTTTATTTGATGGTGTTTGCTACAAGGCAGGAACGTGACTTAAGAAGCCTGGGTGTTATTGCCTGGAGAGTGAAACTGAAGTGCTTTATAAGACATCCACACTCTTCAGAACTGTTACAGCCTTAAGATTAGAGGTGGGAGACTCACAAAAGATTGGGCTGGTCTGTTTGTTTGGAGATAACCACCCAATAGTTTGGATGCTTGTCAGTACCTTATCAGAACAATCTGAACCTCTTTGGTCTGAAAAACCGGGCTTCACAGGGAGTTTTGCCTGTATAAAAAAATCCTCCTTCCCCCCCAAAAACCAAACAAGTCATGTCTGCAGGATTTGGCCTTTTATCACTAGCATTTGGAAGTGCTGAACTCATTATTTAAACAATGGGTTACCAAAAATGATGTTTTATTACGTAGAACTCCCTATTATGCTGGATTACTGTGTTACATGAATTGCTCATTTTTTTGCTCTGTGATGGAAAGCATAGTTATCTAAGCATAGCTGTTGTGTTAATTTACTCCAGCGGGATCAGAAAGTTTTCATGACGGGCTCTTAGAACCGCAAATGAACTCCTGTTTAATGATATGCTGTAATATGGAAGGACAAATCACAGATGATATTCATAGTGCTGAATGAATGTGTAGACATATCTGTGCATGTTTTTATGTGACAAAATAAATATTTATCCATATTTTTACATTGAAAAGTGTCACCAAATGCCAGGAGGGTGAGAGTAGATGAAGAGACGGAGAATTCAATGAGAATTACATGGCAGCCTGCACCTGGGAAAGTTGTGAGCTATCGTGTAGTTTACCGACCAGTCAGTGGAGGAAGGCAGGTGGTTGCAAAAGTACCAGCTACTTCCACAACTACAGTGTTAAAACGACTTCAGCCTCTAACCAAATACAACATCTCTGTTATTCCAATGTATAAATCTGGGGAAGGAAAACACAGGCAAGGAGAAGGAACAACAGGTATGTATTATATATAATTAAATTTGAATAAATAGTAAAAATCTTATGATTAAAGGTATTCATTGTAGGGGGTAGAAAAGCAATTGTACAGTAAGTAGACCAAGTGTTAGCTAATCCGTTATCTGCCAGATCTCCAAGAACAGGAATTAACAAAAAATTGCTACAGGATGGGCATGGAGTTGGGATTGTTGAAAATTTTACCTGTGTCATGGCCTGATCATTGCCTCCTGCTATTTGAGATTGGGGTATACCACTTTTGTTAGAGCAGCAAACCTGTTCTGGTGGCTGGTCCTTAGAAGTCAATGGAAAATAAGTGTTTCTGGACAGTTCTGTGAGAGAATATTGTTCCTTCAACAGACCACTTCTCAATGGTTTGTTAGGACTTAGTAATTTGTCTTTGTAATTCTTGAAGTGGCCTTTGGGGAACTTATTCCTTGGCGTTGTCCTCATGGGTCTTCTTCATATGGCTGATGTAAATATAGAGCAACAACTATACATTGACATTTAAATGGTTACGCCAAATAATTGCATCTGAAGTAGCAGAGTGTATTGCGGTGATGTCTCCTTAGTATTCGCGAATCGGGCATTGAGTTGTTATATATTCCATGGTCTGTTCTAGTGACAATAGTCGCACTCTGGAGAATCTTTAATTTTCCATTTGTGCAGCAAGTATCTGCATCTGCCATGGTTTGTGCGGATGTGGTATAGGATTGCCCATGAGCTTCGTGGGAGATTGAAGCCAGAGATCTTCTGCATCAGGTCTTTCACGAAGTGTTTGTGACTTCTTGTGAACTGTATTCAGCTTTCCAAGCTTCATCAGGGTTGAAGTTGCATCACTGAAGGTTAAATGCATGGGTCCAAAAGGGCTTACATGACTTCAAGCGGTGGTGAGGGATGTTGTTAGGCCCTGGTGGAGGGGAAGATGTTCATTTCCCATGATCCTCTGGAATTCCCAAAGGTTCGTGGCATCATGGCAAATGGATGGGGGAGCAATGTGCGACAGCACTGGCAGTCAAAGGGTTGCAGTCGACTTGAGGGTTCCAGTGATGCACCACACCGCAGTGTTGAGTTGGACATCAACAAGTCTAGTATGGCTACTTCTGCTCCATAGTGGTGCACGGTACTCAGGTACGGAATACCCATGGGCCATCGCTGATGTCCATGACACTGATGCTGATGCTCCCCAGCTTGTGGTTGCCAGTTTCTGGACCAGGTTGACCCTTGTCTTTGTCTTGGCAGCTCCCTTCTTCAGATGGTCGTGGAAGGTTAGCGTGCGATCCAGTCTCACTCTGACATAGGTCGGCGTGGCGTCATGTCACTCAGTGTTGCCATAAAAGGTTACTTTCAGGGTGCGCTTAGCCTTCCTGTTATCAAGATGGACTGCATGTGTTGTTTTATGAGGATTTGGCTTCATTGGTGACCATGGTTTACAATGATCCGCAGTAGCTAAAACAGGAGGGAAGGTGACTAGAGGGCTGTCCATGGAACTCTGGCTAGGGATAGAGTAGTTTGTTGAAGGAACAATATTTTCTCTCAGAGCCCTTTAGAATCAACACATCATGCATTAAGCCTTGGTAAGGGGATTTGTTTTGAGTAGTGGAGAGCCTCATTAATCTGATCTGTCCTCACTCTGATACAAGTGCTTCCTTTTGCAAGGCAATTGTCTGGTGCTTTGCAGAGAAAATCAAATGGATTTGGATTTAATTGTGTTCTTCCATGGATGTAGGGCAATATCTGAAACAGACAAATGTTACAACTTCTCTGCTTCAGTTGCTGCCAGTGTGGCTCACTGGGGCACTAGAGTCATTGTGAGCACCTTGTACCACAACCTGCACTTTGGACCCATCTCATGCTTACTCAAAGTCCATAGTTGTCTGGCACATTTTCAGTATAATTTTTTAATTCTCTCGTCTCACATCTGCCCCATCTCCCCCTAGAGAGATTACATAGAATCCTGGCCCACAATAATATGTAAACTTAATACAATAAGGTCTTTCAAGGACTATGCAAGAAATTGCCATGTCTATCAACCACTTGTTTGCTAAGCAGTGTCTCTCACCAGGAGCACATGACACCAGTGTGCTCTGATCTGAACTGGCTGCCTGTTAGTTTCAAAATAGAGAGTAAAGTTTGACCCGTAAATCTCTAAATGGCTTGAGACCTGCCACACTGCCTTCTGAGTACAAAAGGAGGGAACTGCTGGCAGGGCATTGTTTATGAAGGGCTTCAACTTTGGAATTTATTTCCCTCCTTGGTGTGAAATAGCCTGAATCTTTTGACCTTCAGGACATGCTGCAAGGCCTGTATCTTTACCCCTAAGGAGGAAGAAGCTGAGAAGGGCTGGTGGTATTTGTGGGTGAGGGCGGTTGTGCTTGTTTTAATGTCTGGTTGGTAATTTTCTTATTTTCTGGTTTTGGGTTGAGAGGAAGCATCTGGTCTTGCCTCTTATGGCTTGGTACTAGTGATTATGCCAAGCAAATCCAGTGCGAGCCCGGAATAGGTGCTTTTTAAATATTGTTTTAAATTGAAAAATACACAAACAATTAATAACTGACGGCAGTTGTACATGGGTTTTTTGTAGTAGTATTTACTAATATTTTTCATATACTTAAGTGATCTAAATTATGGCTTTTTTCCCCTTCGATCCTGGCAGCCTCTCCTTATAAACCACCCAGAAACATGAAAACTTCTGATTCCACTATGTCAAGTTTCAGAGTAACTTGGGAGCCAGCCCCTGGGGAAGTGAGAGGTTACAAAATAACTTTCCATCCAACAGGAGAAGATAGACTTGGAGAACTAATTGTTGGGCCATATGACAATACAGTTGTATTGGAGGAGCTTAGGTATGGCTAATAATTCTTTTTAATTTTGGGTTAATAGTTTAATTATTAGAAATAAAATGGCTCAGGTTATGAATAGCTTTACCATCCCTTCTTTACAGCAATGTGTTTATGAAAGAAGTATGTATTTTTTCACAAAGATACCCCTTTTTCCTTAGTTTTAATGCTATTGTAGGTAAGGCTGCACTAGGGCCATGATGATAAAGAGGCTGGTAGGTAGGACAGAGTCAAGCATAAGTAAGAAAAACCTTTAAGGGCCATGGGCTTCCAGGGAATTGTTATTCAATCCCAGAAAGGCATCTGCAAGCATGGATTCCAATGTTCTGTCTGTGATATCACTGGGGCATGTGAGAGAGCAAGATGGCGTGCTTGATACTAGGAGCAGAGGAGAAGATTGAGTTGTCCAAACTTTTTTCTAAAGAATTTTGAAGCTAAAATTGTAGTTCAGTTCTGGATAGAGCTCTATGTTCATTTGGGGAAGACCCCGAGATTTAAAGATGCAATTCTGAGCATGTCATACTCCTACATGAGCACTGGGAATTGCATGGGAGCATCAGGAATTGTATGTATGTCCAGGGAGGGTGCAAGGATGTTTCGCACCCTAGGCGAAACTTCCACCTTGCGCCCCCCACCTCCCCGAGCCCTGTGGCAGCTCTCCGCCCTAAGGCGCCCCCCCTGCGGCAGCTCCCCCCGGCCTGGGGAACCATGCGGCAGCTCCCCGTCCCAGCTCACCTCTGCTCCGCCTCCTCCTTGAGCACGCCATCACTGCTCCACTTCTCCTGCCTCCCAGGCTTGCGGCGCCAATCAGCTGTTTGGCGCCGCAAGCCTGGGAGGGAGAGAAGCAGAGCGGGGCGGCATGCTCAGGGGAGGAGACGGAGCAGAGGTGAGCTGGGGTGGGGAGCGGTTCCCCTGCGTGCCGCCGCCCCCCCTTACTTGTTGCAGGCGGCCCTCCTCGCGCCCCCCTGCCCCAGCTCCCTCCGCCTAAATGCCGCCGACGACCAGGGCAGCCGAAGATCCGGCCGCTGCCGAAGGACCCGAAATGCCTCCCCCCAAATGCTAGCGTGGTCGCCTAATGGGTTGCACCAGCCCTGTGTGTGTCAGTTGGGCATGCTCAAAGTGGCACCATTAAAAATCTGACCTCAAATGAACAAACTATGGTATATAGTTACAGATCTGGAACCAGACACTCAGCTGGTATAAAGCAGGAGAGCTCCATTGGCTTCAATGGAATTATGCCGCATTATATCAGTTGAGGCACAGGACTCAGGGCTTTACATTTCTAGACCTTCTCCTCTATAGAAAAAAACTGAGTAGCTATGTTTAATGTAACGAAAGGCCAAATCATCAATTCCTTAGTTCCTCACTCAGATACTACCTTAAAGAAAACTCTCACTGAAGTTAGGAGGTATGTAAGCAAACACAGACATATGGATTTAGAACATGTACTATACCATATAACATAATATAGTAATAGTCAGTATAGAAACTATGATCATGCTTCACATGTGAGATATCTAAAAAGCAATCAAATCCACGTTAAAAGGTCTAGTTTATTTATTGGTGAAACATCAGCATTTAGCTGATCAAATTGATTTGACATATCCATGTATTCTTTTTACAATTGTAGGGCAGGCACTACCTATAAGGTAAATGTTTTTGGAATGTTTGAAGGAGGGGAGAGTGCACCACTGGTTGGCCAAGAAATGACCACCCTTTCAGATGCTACTGTGATGCCATTCTTAGCCGGAGGTAAACCTGATCACATTGAGGCAAATGGAATATCTGTCTTTTGTTTTCTAATGTTTCAGATAGGTTTAGCATTTCCCTGTCACTTTTATCATAAGATGCTGCAATACATTTAACTAACAAACATTTATTTACAGGGTTTGATGAACAGTAAAACCTGTATCCTCAAGTATGCCTAAATTCATGAGTACAGTTCTCTTCCACTTTTATTAAAAGGTCACTCCTGTTAAGCAGTGCTGATTAGTCGAGACCAAGTTCACTGTATCTAGAAGCCATACATGCCTATATTCATTCATACAGGGCCAAATGCTTGATCAGAGAATGCTGCCCTCCTAAGTGAGTTGTGCACACAGGGTGAAATACACCTCTGCACAGAGAGCCAGGACAGGGCCTATCCACCACTTAGCATCCTTAAAATAGGTCATAAGTGGGCATAGGCCTTTTGTTTGTTGTCTGCACAAGGATGAATTTCATCCCTGGGGTATTGTGCACAGGACTGAGGAACAATACATGTAATGGTCAAGGCAGCTACTCTCCCTGTGTGTGGTATTGGGCCTGTGTATCTGGATTGACTCATATTGCCCACCATTCCCCCATACCCCTGGAGTCATGGGTGCTGCTGCACCCCCTGGCTTGAAGTGATTTCCATCATATACAGGGTTTATTGTTTGGTTCAATGGCTCTCAGCACCCCCACTATACAAATTGTTCCAGCGCCCCTGCCTGGAGTTGAGCTCCAGTTTGTGTAAGGACTGAGAAACATGTTTGTGAGGGACCTCTGCTTCCCTTTACCCTACTGTGTTTGTGCGAACCATGGCATTTCTTCTCCATTTCAGGCCTGGCATGCCCCGCAGAGAGGGACAGAGGGTTTGGCCCTGAGTATCTACTGTAGAAGTCTATCCTAACCCCTGTAAAAGGTCTCTCAGAAATTAATTTGGTAAAAACCTACTTTTGGCTGCCAAACATGATATTCAGGCAAACATAAATTCTTTTTTTCCTAGCCTTTTTAAAGATACTTTTTTTTATTCAATGCCCTCTTTGAGCACCATGTTATGGAAAAATAATACTCGTTTATATAACATTTATCAACAGCAGTTAGAAAATGCTGATGATGTGCTTCAGTAAGTAGGTTTTAAACTATTTTTGGATTGCCAAAAATTGAAGTACACAGCTCCCTTTTTTTTGCAACAGGTAGGCAGAAAACCCTAGTTTGTTTGCAATTACAAATGTTATTTAGCAGTGGTTGCTGGATTTGAAGAGGTGTTTACCTATGTGGAACTAGAACAATGGTATGCCTGAAATATAGTGCCTCAGAGAATTTACTGACCTTGGCCAGAAACTCTATATAATACTAGAGGGTAAAATTGAGAAAGGTGGCATAGCAGCAGAAAGGATGCTTCCAGTGAAATGGGAGAGAAACTAGTAATTCTGGCAGAAAAATAATTGCACCGGGCATATTTATTATGTTTATGTTACTGCAGCTACCGTTCCTTCCTACAATGTAATATACAGTAAGCTAAGCTGTTTTAGTAATGCATGGACTAGAATCATGGTTACTGTGAAAAATGAAATTTGTAGCTGGGAAAGTAAATTCTGTATGCAGTGGTACCCTGTCTATTTATTAAAATAACAAAAATTAATAAAGATACAGTGCCTTTGCTAGAACTTTCAGGTGTGGGATTATGGGAGTTGGAAGAAAAGTAAAAGCCAAAGTAATTTAATTGGTTAAAGGTACATGAAGCTTCATTAGTGAACATATGCATGCAGTTTTGATCTAACAAGATTTTACTTAAACTCTACTCCACAAACTATTTGTATTGTCCTGATTAAAGACTAGATCTGTATTTTCTATGCAGAAGAGGACCATGCTTTTAAACCCTCAGGTACATCGAGTAGTTAGGAGTCTACAGTATTGGATCAATTATGTGGAACATAGATGAAATCACAATGTCTTTCAACTGTGATGAGTTTGGCTGATTTTTCTCAATGGGATTTCTTCCATATAAAGACCAGAAGCTATGATGGCAAGAAGCCAGAAAATTTGCAGCTGGTAACTCAATCTCCCGGAAAAGAGAGTGAACAAGTGTTTTTTTTTTTCAAATGACTGATAATAAGATCATTTAAATACTTGTATCTTTCTGCTTTGTATAAACATTCTGTGATTTCTAATATGATGAAACTGAAATTTTTCATATTTTTATTCCATAGTTTGTAAACTGAGGGTATCTGAGATAACTTTCTTCCTTTTCAAAACAATGCAGCTTTGTATAAATGTTTGTTTTTGTCATTTCTATATCTCTTGACTTGTGTATTTGTTTGCATATCTTCTTCTAAATTATGTTCTCTCTTTCTTGTTTTACATGTGCAAACTTCTGCACCATCTATATTAATTTATTTTATTTCTCTACAAGTTGAGTGATGTTGCTTACCTGAATATGTTAATGATATATACTAATTATTCCAGTGTATAATTGAAAACAGGACATTAGTTTAGCCCCTGATTCTAGACTAAAATAATGTAAATCTGGATCATTTGAAAATGCTCACATATTTTAATTTTAGCGTTTAGTTCATTCAAAATATAGGGCATTCCCACTGCCAGATTAGTTATTAGCTTAAACTTCTGTTCCCTCAGGAATCTGAAATAAATTTATTTTCCATTAATAAAGATCAAGCTAGGTAAAGCCTATCATAGTAAGGAAAAGCATGTTCATGAATTTTGACATGTCAGAAGAGGTCCCTCTGGGAGGGATGTGTGTATGAGGAAATTAATAAATCTTGTACCAATGAAATAATTCATGAATAGTGGATCAATAGCTGGTATTGACAGGCCACAGAGCATCAGTGGATAATGCTAGAAGTTTCAGTCAGTAAGTCAATTCAGTGTATATCATGTAGTGTAGAAGAGGGCAGAAGAAAATAAAGTACCTGCATGGATTAATATGGATAACATGTTTTTTTTCTGGTTGGTGTGGCAGGCTTGGAGTGTATTACCACAGCAGAAGCTGATATTGTGCTGCTGGTGGATGGCTCATGGAGTATCGGGAGACCAAATTTTAAAACAGTCAGGAACTTCATTGCTCGTATTGTTGAAGTCTTTGATATTGGTCGTGACAAAGTGCAGATTGGTAAGTCTTGCAGGTATAAAAGGGGTCTGGGCACATAACTGTTCCATAACAATGTAGTAACCGAGTGATAATGGCTTTTTCAGCTCTTGCTCAGTATAGTGGAGATCCCAGAACAGAATGGCACCTAAATACTTACAGTTCCAAACAGAGTTTACTAGATGCTGTGGCCAACTTACCATACAAAGGAGGCAATACACTAACAGGTACGTTACATTCCCTTAGTTTTCCTTAAGCTATATTTAAAAATGTTTCATTAATTGCCATAAATTATCTGGTCATTATTATCAATGAGCTCAGCACTGTGCATCATAAAAAAATTCCCTGCCCAAAGGTGCTTCCAGTCTAGTTTGGACATGACTAAAACTGTTCAGACATATTATAATACAGAAAGTGATGGCACAAGCTTGAAGTGTTGGGGAAATCTTGCTGAGGTTATCATTCAAAGGAAAGGGTTCTCAGCAGAGTGTGTTTTAAGGAGGGATTTGATGGAGGAGAATTTGGGTAGATAAGGAATATGATGGATGAAATAATTTGGCCTATGAAAAGAGGGGAAGGCAATTCAATGCACAAGGGGCAGCATGAAAACAAGTGTGGAGATAAAAATGGGTGCTGTGGTGGGGATTTTGGCAGGAGGGAAGGCTATAAAAGGGAGAGGAGGAAGAATGGGGAGCAGAGATGTTGGCAAGGGCAGAGGTGGTGCAGGACCTGGTAGGGGAAGATGAGAAGCTTGAATTTGATGTGGAAGATGATGGGCAGCCCTTGAAAGGATGTAAAGAGGGGAGTGATGTGGTCAGTGATGGCTATGGTGAAATATATTTGTTTGCCAGTAAGGTATATTTGTAATAGTGTACAGTACTCACCAATTGCCTCTTTATGTCACATTAGGAATGGCTTTGAGTTTCATCCTAAAAGACAATTTCAAACCAGAAGTCGGATTGAGGCCTAAAGCTCACAAAATCGGTGTCCTCATCACTGATGGCAAATCACAAGACGATATAGTGGCTCCTTCAAAGAGACTCAGGGATGAGGGAGTGGAACTTTTTGCGATTGGTAAGTATTGTATGAAGAGAAATTGAATGTAGAGATGAGTTTTAAAACATAATAGATGAGTAGTAATGCACTTGACTCCATGGAATGCGATAGAAATGATGTGTTTCGGTGCGGGGGGCTTAGCTGTATTACACTTCATTTAAGTCTTGTTCATGTGTCATGTATTTAAGGTATTAAGAATGCGGATGAAAATGAGTTGAAGCAGATTGCAACAGATCCAGATGATACCCATGCTTACAACGTTGCTGATTTCTCCTTCCTCGTTAATATTGTTGATGACTTAACGATTAATCTGTGTAATAGTGTAAAAGGCCCAGGTACGTCTTCCTTTTCAATCAAATTCACCCTCTCCCAGTCTATGTGCTTTAGTACCTTGGCCTGAAAATTCATTTCCGTTGCTGACTGGGAACTGTCAAATCAATCTGCTTTTTCAGCTACCGACCTAAAGAAGCTGCAGGCCTGGGATAACAACTGTGTTTTGCCTCCACCAGCATTATGTGGCTGACGCTTCTTCCCAGGGTCAGGCATGTGGAAAAGATGTTGTTTGATGTGTCTCTCCTTATGTGGAGGGCCAGGCGGGAAGGTTCTTCGCTGGCTGACTGACCGTTACTCAACCCGGGAAGAGTTTTAACAGGACTGCACTGTTGAAATGTGAAATCTGGCTGGCTTACAGCTCAGAAGCAAAGCTTAGCATGGAAAAAGAGCCCCTCAAGATGAGGGTTCTCCCTATCAAATGTTAGTGTTCGGGGTGGGGTAGGAAGGAGAGGGAACGTGCATAGGTCTGTTAGGAAGGCTACTGCCCACAGAGCCATGTAATGATGTGGTGCTGGGCTATCATTGTCATTGCTGTTGTAAGGGCTCCTCCGGTGATGTGAGGCGTCATTTCAGAAATACCACCAAAGAGCAGCAGCAAATATTTTTTTCAAAGCAGTTGAACTTGAGTATAATTCTGAGTTTCATTCCCATCGTCATTAATGAGCATCTCCCTTTATTTGTTTCAATGCTGTAGGTGGTTTGTCATCTCCCTCCAATCTGGTGACTTCTGAGGTGACACCTCGTTCTTTCAGAGTGACGTGGACTGCACCTGTTGAGAGCGTGGATAGATACAGGGTTGAATACTACCCTGTTTCTGGAGGCCCACCTCAGCAGGTTAGTACCTGGAATCTCTGTTCTGATCTTATCTGTCTGAACCGCAGACTCTTGCATATTGAAGTTTCTCTCATCTAGATTCTGCCAAGACAGCATGGTACCAATTTAAGGTTTGTGTTAATCTGAAAGAATGCTGGTTATGTGTGGAGCGGTGTGAGGTGGGAAAGGACTTCTGTCTCAAAGAGCATGGAGGCATCTTACAAAAGGGATATATTCCTGGCCACAAATAGCAAGTTACATTCTTTTTGCTTTGTGTTTCAAAAACCTGACAGAAATGAGGTTCATACTACAGATGATCTTGGATATTTTAAAATTATGAAACTTGGAGTTTAATATACCTTAGAAAATACTTGTCTGTGTTTCCTAGTAATGCCCATTGATTCATACGTCCACAGTCATATGTTCCTTTAATCAAGTCCATTCATGAAAACTCTCTGACCATATCAGCAACTAGAAATAGTGGTCCTTTAGTACACCTTATTCTGGGTCATGGTTAAAAGCAAGAGGGATGGTGGGCTCTACAGGTTGTGAGACAGTATTTAGGTTAGGGTCAAAGTTAGGGTCAAGACTGTTAAATCCATACTCAGATCTGACTCAGCCTAAACTAGCACTTTCTTCAGGATCTGTCCTTTGGTTAGGGCAGGTGGCAGCCATTCTGGCACATGTTGACTTTATACCTTGCTTATCCAATGGCATTTTATTCTGAAGACTTTCTGCTTCTTTTTGGTTGATCCTTGTTGCTAATATCACTGCATACAGTACATGTGCTATACAAGTCTCGATTTTCTGTGGTGCCATACTGTCTACATTCTATTTCCAAAACAGGGAGGAAGAATTTGAATTACATTTCCAAGCATGTTCCCCATTCAACCAAATAATGTGTAGCACAGGGGGTTCTCAAACTGGGGGTTGGGACCCCTCAGAGGGTTGCGAGGTTATTACATTGGGGGTCATGAGCTGTCAGCCTCCACCCCAAACCCCGCTTTGCCTCCAGCATTTATAATGGTCTTAAATATGTAAAAAAGTATTTTTAATGTACTCAGAGGCTTGCTGTCTGAAAGGGGTCACCAGTACAAAAGTATGAGAACCACTGGGTAGTATAAATATCACCTGTGAAAGTAGGGAGTCATTTTAATCTAATTGTACACTATTGAAAACATATGTCTGCCTAAATCCCTACAACATGCTTTTTCATACATAATGGGGGCAGAATACTGAAAAACTAAACATGCAGAAGACTAAGGGATGAATTTATTTATAGTGTAACTCCACTGATGCAAGAGTAATATGCAGCAAGACTGAAGATGACTTTGGTAAATTAAATTAACATTGCTTTTATTTTTGTGTAGTTTTATGTAAATCGAGCGGAAACTACTACAGTTCTGAGAAACCTGAAACCTGAAACAGAATATGTTGTTAAAGTGTTCTCTGTGGTAGAAGATGAAAGCAGTGAACCTCTAAGTGGCTCAGAAACAACTTGTAAGTTAGAATTCCAGTATGATCAATGTGTTTAACAACTGGTGTGACACCAATGATAGTCCCTCAGTAGAACATTTATTATTGCAATACTTCTTGACAACATAAATGGTAGTTTGGTCCTTGAGTTGCCCATATAACCATGCCTGGAAAGTTGTGGCCATAAGAGACAGCGGCAGGGTGGAAATTGTCTGCCCTGACTCTGGCTTCCTTCCAAACTCATAAAGACACTGCTCTACTAGTCCTCTTGGGCCAGAGCCCTGGAGAAACATTCCAAGAAACGACTTATAATCTCAGGGAATATGGTCCAGAAGTTGTCAAATACATGCCTTCATTCAACCTGTGCAACCTCCATATTACACAGATCATTCTTGCTACAGGCAGCCAAAATGTTGTCTCAAATTGACTCTGATTTTGCAGCATTAATGTGTGCCTGGTTCAGAGCAATTACATCAGTTTTGTGCTTACGGGCATAGATTGGCTCATGTTTCCATTATCAGCTGTTCAAATGATTGATAATATGTATGTTGTTACTGAATGCAAGATAGAGTGGCATCTTGAGCCTGTCAAAATATTGATCATTAGCATTTCCCTTCTGTCATATGTGATTGCTCTACATTAGGCAGGTCATAAATTCCAAATTAATTTATTCACATTAGTGATTTAAAAATTTGAGGTGATTTTTTTTTTAACGGTTCATGTAGTTTTTTACAGAGTAAGAAAAATGTATATCAGAGTAAAGAAAAAAGATACAATAATGTTCCCTTTTTATGTATAAATCCAGAAGCCAGTTATGTTTGGGGTTGATAATCAACATTTAATATTAATTAAGGTAGAACTTTAGAATATTCAAGAAACTTAATATACACTTCAAAATGCAGCTTTGTCCTTTAGGAAAGGAATGTTAAAATTTTGAAAATTAGTGTTATGACAGAAAATCACTGGACACATTAAAAAAGATATGACTGTTACTAATTCTTTAAGTTAATCACCACTTACAACAACAAAATCTATGGATTCCTTATTTCACTAACCCTATACCTCCTTATTCCCAAGTGACCTATTCTCTATAGTACTGCTGGATGGTGTGTAATGCTAAAAGGTGGTGGAGTGGGCAGAAAAGTAATAAATAAAGTGATTGAATAAAATGAATAATTTCATATTTTCACAGTGCCAATCCCTACAATCAGAAACCTGAATGCTTATGATATTGGATCGACTTCCATGAGAGTGAGATGGGAACCTCTCAGGGGAGCTACTGGTTATCGGTTATTGTATGAACCTCTCAATGCCACAATACCAGCTGTAGAAAAAGAGGTGTGGAAAGTTACCTGTAGTTCTCTGTAACTTGTCTCTCCCCTACGGATCCCCACAAAAAGCAGTTAGATTTTCAAGGGTATCCCATAATAGTAAGAAAAGTCTGGCAGGTATATATGAAGTGCAGCACATTTACTGGAGTATTATATACAATGACATCAGTCAGGAAGTTGTAAATGTAGTGTAAATCTTGGAAACAAAGTTCTCTTTTAATTAAATCATTGCTTTTTTCTTTCTGCTCTCTTTTATTTTTCAACACCTGCATCTTTCTTTCATGTGCAGATGCGCGTTGGGTCATCGGTGAATGATGTTCAGCTGGTAGACCTCATCCCCAATACTGCCTACACTTTAACTATTCATGCAGAGTTTGGTGATCTCAGCAGTGACCCACTCACCACTCAGGAAGTGACATGTAAGGGCTTTTTGAATTCTTGCTTTGCTTTTTGTTGTATCAGTAATATCTAACTTACATTATATTTTAGCAGCAATGGGTGGGTGGAGGAGCGGGACATTTATTTTGTCACTTTCTGTAGATTTTTTTCTCTAGGTATGGATTTTTCATCATTGCAAGGGTTTTGAAGGGTCATAAAGCCACTTCAACTGAAAATGAACTAATTTAAAGAAACACCAATATGGCTTCCCCTCCAAGCTCATGGGAGCTTGATAAAGGAAGGGCAGTTTGGCTAACAACTTGCAAACAGCAGATTACAGTGGATTTATTTTATTGTGAGCCTACTTATACCTGTTTTCAAAAAGGTTTAGTATTTTAACAATTAAAGTGGAAGAAGGCTAAAGGTAAAGGAAAAGTTGGACTATCGCTACTAAAAGCCAAATTCTGCTTGCTTTACACACATCATTGAGTTCAGTGGGACTGTTCACCTAAATATAACAACTAGGATTTGGGCGCCAAAAGGCTTATTTAAAAACAATAAACACATTTGAAATGGTGTTTATTTAAAATGGCATTACCTGTACTTTCTAATTAAACCAACCTCCTTTAAATGGCATTGAAATTATGTTTATAAGAAGAGGCTCTGGGTCTTTTCCAGCCAATATTGAGTAATTTTGAAATCATCAACATGAGCAGAGTGCAGGTCTTCAGCTATTCTGGTGGCTGGATAATTTGTTGAAATGACTCATCTGGTGGCCAAAACAGGGATTCCCTTTGATAAGTTTTTGGCTTTTTTTCTTTAACAAAAAAAGATGTGAAAAGAGTTTCTTTTCCAGTTTGAGAATAGTAGTTGTATATTATTGTTCCTATTTTACAGTACCTTTAGCTGGAGCCAAAAGCTTGAGGGTTAGAGACATTACTCACAGCAGCATGAATGTTATTTGGGATCCTGCCCCAGGAAAAGTCCGCAGATACCTATTGAGATACAAAACAACTTTGGGAGATGAACCAAAAGAGGTAGGTGGAAAGCATTTTAGCAAGTAACCGAAGATTGTTTTACTGTAAGAAGCTTAAATATAATATTAGAAACAGGTAGTAAAAACAGACAACATCAGCTCTTGGCAGCTGCAATATCATTAAAAGGGTACTGATATCAAGGAAGCTTTACAAGCTTGGGTTGGAATTCTCCCCCTGATCCCCTTGGTTCTACAAAGGGACCGGAAAAGCCCCTTAGCTGGCCAAAGGAAAATTCCTGTGCAGCAAGCACTGGACACTCTGTGTGGCCCTGCTGCCCATAGACAGCCAAAGATGGGCCGAGGTAACTTAGTCAATCCTTCGGGCTTTCTAAGAGTGGCTACACCACCCTTGGAACACCTTAAAGTCAGGAGGGCATGAAGGTGGCTTCAAGCCATTTTAGTCCCCTGTGGCCCTGGATTGCAGCTGCATGTGCTGCTCTTCCAGGAGGCACAGCACACAATTGCACCCCTAGAGCCATTTGCGCTGAGTGATATAACAGGTTGTGCATATTACTGGAATCCTGACAATAAAGTACATTGTCAAAAGGTCCGAGGCTCTTTTTGCAGGTGCAATTTGCATCTGCATTATCGTACATGGATAATCATAGAATCGTAGGACTGGAAGGAACCTCGAGAGGTCCTCTAGTACAATACCCTGCACTCATGAAAGGACTAAGTATTATCTATACCATCCCTGACAGGTGTTTGTCTAGCCTGCTCTTAAAAATCTCCAATGACAGAGATTGCACAACCTCCCTACGCAACTTATTCCAATGTTTAATCACCCTGACAGTTAGGAAGCTTTTCCTAATGACCAACCTAAACCTCTTTTACTGCAATTTAATCCCATTGCTTCTTGTCCTATTCTCAGAGGTTGAAGAGAACAATTTTCCTCCCTCCACCTGATAACAATCTTTTATGTACTCCTTCCTAGGGACATTTTGTATGTTTGCAGCTGATTGTTCCCTCCTAAGTGGAGTACTTTGCATTTGTCCTTATTGAATTTCATCCTATTTACTTCAGACCATTTTCCAGTTTGTCCAGATCATTTTGAATTTTAATCCTATCCTCCAAAGCACTTGCAACCCCTCCCAGCTTGGTATCATCCACAAACTTTATAACTGTACTCTCTCTATGCCATTATCTAAATCATTGATGAAGATATTGATCAGAACCGGACCCAGAACTGATCCCTGCAGGACCCCTCTTGATATGCCCTTCCAGCTTGACTGTGAACCACTGATAACTACTTTCCAACCAGTTATTCACCCACCTTATAGTAGCTATATATAGGTTGTATTTCCCTAGTTTTTTGATGAGGTCATGCGAGACAGTATAAAAAGCCTTACTAAAGTCAAGATATACCACATCTACTGCTTCCCCCCATTCACAAACTTGTTATCCTGTCAAAGAAAGCTATTAGGTTGGTTTGACACGATTTGTTCTTGACAAATCCATGCTCACTGTTACTTATCACCTTCTTATCTTCTTGGTGTTTGCAAATTGATTGCTTAATTATTTGCTCCATTATCTTTCCGGGTTCTGAAGTTAAGCTGACTGGTCTGTAATTCCCGGGGCTGTCCTTATTCCACTTTTTTAGATTGTCAATATATTTGCCCTTTTCCAGTCCTCTGGAATCTCTCCTGTCTTCCATGACTTTTTGAAGATAATTGCTAATGGCTTAGATATTGCCTCTGTCTGCTCCTTGAGTATTCTACGATGTATTTCATCAGGCCCTGGTGACTTGAAGTTAACTCCAGGTGCCAGTTACAGTACTTGCTGCTCAAACAACTTATTTTGCACCTACAGTCTGGTAATCAGAGGTATGAGTACCCAGATTTGCACCCACAGTTCAAGTGCAGGTGCAACAATGTAGGTACAAATTGCACCCCCAAAAGGAGTGCAAAATTATCCCAGAATATCTTAGTCTTTTTTGTTGTAGCAATGACTACAGTATATTAATGTGCATGTATAGGGACAGAAACTTAACTGTGTGTCAATTTACAATTCTTCTGCCTTTATTTTTGTTTCTAGGTGGAAGTTGATAAATCAAAAACGAGCACAGTTCTTTCTAGTCTTCTCTCACAAACTCTGTATGATCTACAACTCGTTGCAGTATATGACGAAGGAGAATCTATACCAGTAGCTGCTAAAGCTACCACTTGTAAGTTGTGGGAATATTTAATTTAACTCTGCTATTAAATATGTTTTCTTAGATTCTGTTTAAGCAAAATGTGCTGCATATTATTATAGAATTTAGGCAGCAATATAATTTAATCCATTTCCTAACCTTCAGTTTGAGAATTCTAAATTCTTCTTATTAAGTAGGATGCTTAGAGGGCAGAATTCTGCCCTCTGGGATCTATACAACTTCTGAAGCTGTCTAGTGGAGAAGGCATAGCATTAGGAATCAGGACATGTGGGTTCTGTTCCCAGTTTTGCATTGATAAACTGTGTGGCCTCGCATAAGCCACTCTTTCTCTCAGTTTCCTCATTTCTAAAATGGGAATAGTCCTCTGTCCTTTTATAAAATACTTAGATCCTACACAGGGAAAAGAAGGCTAATACTGAAAAGTTTTTTAACCTAGCAGATTTTCTGTCAGTGACAGAAAAAACAGCTCATCAAGAAAAGTGTTCAGCCACAAGATATTGGGTTCAGTGCAGGAATTCTTGGGTGAAGTACTAAGGATAATTTATGCAGGAGCTCAGACTAGATGGTCATAATTATACCTTCTGGGAAATCTATGTTCCAGAACTTCAGCTGCTATGAGTCGGTGTAGTTCTACTGAAGTCCATGGAGCTGTGCCAGTTTATATTAGCTGAGGACCTGGCCATATGAAAGACAAATTGCTCTGTATAAGTGCTGAGTAACACTACAATTTATTATTAAAGTCATTGGAAATGTGTCTGGGAGCATATTCTGTTGCATAGAAAGTTATTTATTAATGGAGCTTTGTGGTTGTGATTATTCTTAGTTTATTGGCTGTATCTTTTGTTTGTTTTTGTTTGTTTGTTTAAGTATTTTCCCTTTCTTCATAATAGTGCCTGTACCAGCACCAGTCAATCTCAGACTCACAGAAGTAACAAAGCAAAGTTTCAGAGGCACTTGGGACCATGGAGCTCCAGATGTGGCTCTCTATAGAATCACCTGGGGACCCTATGGTGGAACAGAAAAGCAGGAGGTAGGAATGAATAGTTAACATGTAGTTTTTTTTAGGACGCTCTCAGAGCAGTACTTTTTATCTGAAATTAAATTTGTGAATGGCCTCAATCTTGGAAACCCTTCGGTGGGAATTGCAGGTGGAGAGGCTTTCGGGATCTGATCCAATATCTGCAGCCAACTAAAATGTCACAATGTAAAGAAAGATGCTCAGTTATCTCCTTTCTTTCCTCCCACCACCAGACCATCCTAAATGGTGATGAAAATTCTCTGGTTTTTGAAAATCTGAACCCAGACACCCTATATGATGTCTCAGTTACTGCCATCTATCCTGATGAATCCGAAAGTGATGACTTGATTGGCAGTGAGCGGACATGTAAGTAATCCATTCCCTAAAAGGATAATGTGTGTTATTAATTATTATTATTATTAGGACTGTCAAGTGATTAACAAAATTTATTGTGATTAATCACACGTTTAATCGTACTGTTAAACAATAATAGAATGCATTTATTTAAATCTTTTTGGATGTTTTCTAGATTTTCAAATATATTGAGTTCAATTACAACACAGAATGCAAAGTGTAGAGTGCTCTTTATACTTTATACTTATTTTTATTACAAGTATTTGCATTGTAAAAAAACAAAAGAAATAGTATTTTTGAATTCACCTAATACAAGTAGTGTAGTGCATTCTCTTTATCATGAATGTTGAACCTACAAATGTAGAATTATATACAAAAAACTGCATTCAAAAATAAACATGTAAAATTTTAGCACCTACGAGTCCACTCAGTCCTACTTTTTGTTCAGCCAATCGCTCAGACAAACAAGTTTGTTTACATTTGCAGGAGATAATGCTGCCCGCTTCTTGTTTAAACTGAGAACAGGCGTTTGCATGGCACTGGCGTTGCAAGATATTTATGTGCCAGATGCTCTAAAGATTCATATGTCCCTTCATGCTTCAACCACCATTCCAGGAGACACATGTTGTTGCTGATGACAGGTTTTGCTCAATAACAATCCAAAGCAGTGCAGACGGACGCATATTCATTTTCATTATCTGAGTCAGATGCCACCAGCAGAAGGTTGATTTTCTTTTTTGATGGTTCAGGTTCTGTAGTTTTCACATTGGAGTGTTGCTCTTTTAAGAATTCTGAAAGTATGCTCCACACCTCATCCCTCTCAGATTTTGGAAGGCACTTCAGATTCTTAAACCTGGGGTCTAGTGCTGTAGCTATCTTTACAAAGCTCACACTGGTACCTTCTTTGCGTTTTGTCAAATCTACAGTGGAAGTGTTCTTAAAATGAACAATGTGTGCTGCGTCATCATTCAAGACTGTTATAACATGAAATATATGGAAGAATGTGGGTAAAACAGAGCAGGGGACATACAATTCTCCCCAAGGAGTTCAGTCACAAATTAATTAATGTGTTATTTTTTTAATGAGCGTCATCAGCATGGAAGCATGTCCTCTGGAATGGTGGCCGAAGCATGAAGGGGCATATGAATGCTTAGCATATCTGGCACATAAATACCTTGCAATGCTGGCTACAAAAGTGCCATGCAAATGCCTGTTCTCACTTTCTGGTGACATTGTAAATAAGAAGAGGGTAGCATTATTTCCCATAAATGTAAACAAACTTGTTTGTCTTAGCGATTGGCTGAACAAGAAGTAGGGCTTAGTGGACTTGTAGGCTTTGAAGTTTTACATTGTTTTGTTTTTGAATACAGTTATGTAAAAAAAAAAAATCTACATTTGTAAGTTGCACTTGTACGACAAAGAGATTGCACTACAGTACTTGTATGAGGTGAACTGAAAAATATTATTTCTTGTGTTTATCATTTTTACAGTGCAAATATTTATAATAAAAAATAATGTACACTTTGATTTCAGTTACCACACAGAATACAATATATATGAAAATGTAGAAAAACATCCAAAATATTTAATACATTTCAATGGGTATTCTATAGTTTAACAGTGCAATTAAAACTGCAATTAATCATGATTAATTTTTTTAATCGCGATTAATTTTTTTGAGTTAATCGCGTGAGTTAACTGCAATTAGTCAACAACCCTAATTATTATTATTAGCTATTAAATTAGAATTAAAGGCATATATGCAATACTTCTAAAAAATTCTTGTGCTTTTTCCTAGTACCTGCAATACGTCCAACAACACAAGGTAAGAACCTGAATTATCAGGTTTCATGTTATTTAAAGAAGTCATAATTCCCATTTAAAACTGAATAGTATATTTACGATGATCTCAGCTTGTTAATAAATATAATTTTGTATTTGGAATGATACTAAACATATGGTTAACCCATGCTTTATTATTTTACTAACATTCCAGTTAAATTCTCTTCTTGATTGTATTCTGAAAACTCTGGGCCAAATTCTGCACATCGCTGGCTCAGTGAAGCCAGTGGCATCCCGGCTCACATCTGAGTACAGAATTTGGCCCATTGTTTGAACTGTGTGCTTACCCTGTGCTTCAATAACTTCAAATCAGCACCAAAGAGCGGTCCACGAAACCTTCAGGTGTACAATGCGACTTCCAATAGCCTGACTGTAAAGTGGGATCCAGCCAGTGGCCGAGTGCAGAGATACAGGATCACTTACCAGCGTACAACTGGGGATGGCGCTGAACAATCGGTAACTAATTTTTAAGGACTATAATTATTAGACCATGAAAAACAAATTTGACCATGTAGTTCTTAAGATTAGTGTGTCAGAACAATTTAGTTTCAAATCAGAGCAGTGCGGATATTAATAGGGGCATTTTTAAATGAAGCTTTATGTTCAAAATAAATGTGTATTTGTATATTAAATATAACATTTCCAAACTAATATGTTCTTTATGGGGAAAAAAAGTGCCCATGTGGAAAGTCAAATTTCTTGAGATTTTCTTGCATCCCGTTATCTGTACAGATCACATAATAAAGTAAAACTAGCTATATTTCTACCTTAAATGTGTACAAATCAAATAAAAATATCAAAATACAAGTCCTGGAGAACTGTGATTCACAAACGTCTTCCAGTCCAGGGTTTGTCTGAGATTTTCACTGTGTGGTTCGCATGCTAATAGAGGGACTGTGTCATGGTGACTAATTCAAGATAGTGTGGACCACCGTCTATTCCAGTAGTGAATAAGTAACATCTCTGTGGTAACTACAGCAACTGCTTAGGTGAGAAAGTAATATTAGGAAAGCAGTAAAGGTAGTTTAGCTTCTTTTAATGTGATTTAGCTTCTGTAAACAAGGAGGACAGCCAGCACCATGTGACCAGCTTCCAACGGACCGCCAGCTAGTGCTCTGTACACCACTGGTCATCCATACAGCTCAGTTGGGCAACCACTGATCCAGCCCCTCTCCTAGTCACACAGTTTACCTGAAATGTATGCTACTAATAACAAAACCAAACCCTATTGGTTAATAGCATGGCCAGTTGATTGTCTGCCTTGTGGTTCATTATGAAAAATGTTCAAAATAACCAAATTTAGCCAGTTCTATTGCTAAAAATCAGTAACCGTACAGGAAAGAGTTACTAGGTTACCAATCCTTCTAGGAAGCTGTTTCTTGCATTGTGTCTGTTCACAGTTCGCAGAAAGCACTCCCAAAATACTCCCCCCAAACTAGCTGTATTTATAGTAGACCTGTTTACAAGTGAAAAACATTCTCAGTGTCACCCAAGACTAAAATTCACCAATCCGCTTTTTACCTGTTTTTCTGATACCATGGCATACCCCTTATCTCTTGTTTTTGAACAAGCATTCAAAACCGGTTGGGCCATGAAGGCATTCCCTACCTTGTACCAGGGTAGAACACTCATGTATCTTGATTTTTGGCCTGGTTTATGGCAAACACCACATTTAGCTTTGCAAGGTAGCTCTTCACATAAGTGGGCAAGAGTGAACCTAATGAAACTTAGCGTAAGGTTGTGTTAGCATTCATATACATTATAATTTATATTATATTAATGTGGTATGTAATACATGTTGATATGGTGTGCAATATGTATAACATACATATTGGCTAACAGCTCTATTCTGTAATATGAGACTGTTGTGGTGATTACCATTGGATTCAAAGCCCTTAGAAGAAAGCCACTAACATTTGGCTCAGTATAATAATCTGAGAGCCTACATCAGGGGTCGGCAACCTTTCAGAAGTGGTGTGCCGAGTCTTCATTTATTCACTCTAATTTAAGGTTTCGCATGCCAGTAATACATTTTAACATTTTTAGAAGGTCTCTTTCTATAAATCTATAATATATAACTAAACTATTGTTGTATGTAAAGTAAATAAGGTTTTTAAAATATTTAAGATGCTTCCTTTAAAATTAAACTAAAATGCAGAGCCCCCCGGACTGGTGGCCAGCACCCGGGCAGTGTGAGTGCCACTGAAAATCAGCTTGCATGCCGCCTTTGGCATGCGTGCCATAGGTTGCCTACCCCTGGCCTACATGTTCACAAGCATATCAAGGCAATATTTACTTTAGATTTGGCTGGATGTTTTCACATCCGAGTTTACTTTTCTATGAACAGCATATATTTGAGTTGAAATGTGAAATATGTGATTCTTTAAAAACCCAAACCAATGTCAATAAGCAGCAACATATGTTAGAAAGGCCTAGAAATATCTGTGAGGAATTAACAAAAAGGGGGTGTGTTTTCAACAGTTAGTGCAGCTATAGTGAAAAGTCAGTAAACAACAGAGAACAGTGATAAGGTCAATTAAACAGGGAATGATTTGCCAAGGGGGGCTGTGATCTGTAACTATTGGTTTTCAAGTGAGACAGGGCAAGAAGAGGCATTCTGTAGAAATCTATGAATACTCTGTCCTCCAGCGAAGCAGGGGATGGACTAGATCAATTATTCTCACCCATTTGGAGAGCAAAGCTGTATGGGACTGGGAGAAGAGATCACCCATGAAAAGGCCTCCTCCTAGAGAGTGTTCCTCAGAACAAAAATGTTGAAAACCATTGGACTAGTGATGACCCAGGTGGCCCTTTCCAAGCCTCCCATTTATATTATATAATACATTATATATATATATATATATATTTGGATTCATGGTATATTGGTCAATAAAATCAATATTTGCTAATGATTACCAGCCATATGACAGTAATTTCTTGACTACCTTTTTGGTGTAGGGTATTTGATTAAACTGCTGGTACTATTGGATTATATCAGTGCCTCATCTAAAACTTTCAAAGCCAAATTTTCAAAAAGGGGCTGTACGTTGCTCTGAGAGACTGGTCGGGTGCCAAACAGCCCCATAACCAGGGAAGAGAAAGGTGGCTTAAAGCCACCCCCAAGGATCTGGGCCAATACCAGTGATTAGGGCCAGATTTGTAAAGGTATTTAGGCACCTAAAGATGGAAATCGGTGCCTAGTGGTATTTTCAAAAACGCCTGGGTGCCTTACTTCCAACAGGAGTTAGGAAGGCACCTAGGAACTTGTGAAAATCCTACTAGGTGCCTAAACACCTTTAAAACTCTGGCCTTTAGTAACTATATACAAATAATAAGGATTTAAACCTGTTATTTAGATTTCTTGTTTCATTAGCATATGCTAAAGGTTGTTCCGCTAAAGATTGTAGATTACTCTGAAATTTAGAATATGTCAGTGGATGGGCACTAGGTTAAAAACATCTGGACTCCAGTAAAATGTCCAGATGTCTAAATGCTTACTCATTTTGGGAGTTCTCCATTTTCAACAGATTCTAATTGCTGTGGCATAAACATCTGAATTCAGTAGACTGTTAAAAATGTACAAATTGTATAAGAAGATTGTTAGGCTACTTTGAGCAATGCATAAAAACACTGATTTCACATAATGAAAGAAAATTGAGCCTGCTAGAATGGTGCCATTCTCAAGTCACTGTAAATCTTTACCTATGTGGTCTGACAAGGACTGTAGTCACATGGTTAACTGTCTAAGTATAATTGAAGTAGAAGGTTTATTGTACTTTTTGGATTAAAGCAAAAACATTTAGGACATTTCTAGAATCAACATGCAACGAAATGTGTGAAAGTGAGGCTAGAATTCCATAATTTTAATGTTATACAATTATTTATGTTTGAGAGCTCTACAGAGTGTTATCATCATTTATTGAAATACACTTGAGCAATGGGCATGATATGCCTGCTCCAAAGCTCATTGAAGTTAATGGAAAGGCTGATTTCGATGGGCTATGGATCAGGAGCTGTCTGGGAAGAAATATCTCTACAGTGGCACTAAAAAGATTGAAGGTCGATATTTAATTGTTATATACAAGTTTGGAAATCTTTTAACAAATGCTGGCTTTGTATTACTGTAGTCTTTTAAAACCAGCCTTAATGAATATGCCACACTGAACTGAATATAATTACTGTTTAATTTATTAGTGAGCTTTCTGATCATGACAGGAGCAATGCCCCATGTAGTCTATACAGGATTCTATTGTGTGTATCAAATACTTACATTCTTTACTACAGCAGTAAGACTTGGTAAATAAGTGATTTTAATGGTTCATTTTTGTCTTACTCCAGACCATGGTAGGGGGGAGGCAGAACAGTGTAGTGCTACAGAAGCTGCAGCCCGACACACCATACACTATTACTGTATCATCTATGTATGCGGATGGGGAAGGAGGACGGATGACAGGCAGGGGCAAGACCAGTAAGTAAAAGAACCGTTTGTGGTGGCAAATGGCAAATGGTTAGCAAATGGCTGTGAAACCATTTATACCTTGTGCTGGAGATCAGCAGATCGACTAGTTTTGCTTTGGGGGTGGGGGGTGTCTTATAGTGTGGACCTTCTGGAGTGTAATCCACCTCATTTTGTCCCTACCCTACAACTTAAAAACATCTGAAATCTTCTCCCCTCCCTTCATAGCACGTGTGCTTCATTCCCTGTGTTAATTGTAGTGAATTTGCCTGAGAGGGAATATGATTTCAGCAGTCTGACAGGGCTTTTGATGTATTTCAGAGCCACTCAACACAGTAAAGAACCTCCGGGTGTATGATCCAACCACCAGCACACTGAGTGTACGATGGGATCATGCTGAAGGAAGTCCTCGCCAGTATAAAGTATATTATGTGCCAACAACAGGCGGTGCAGAGGAAATGGTAATAATTCTTGTGGGTTTTATTAGTTGTCTCAGATAAGTTGCCATATAAACCCCTGAAAAAAATTGACAATGATGAGTGCCTCACCCCAATACAAGGACATCTATAGACCTTGTGCAAATTCTGTTCTCTGCTGCACTGGTATAAATTCAGAGTAGCTCCATGGAAGTCAGTGACTTATGCCTTAAGACACATGACTTAATACCACTTTTTTAATGTAATATGTTAAGAAGCAAATCTTCAGCAATTAGATGTTAGCACATGGGAGCAACTGTCTTCTACAGCAACTACTGCACTCCTCCTTCTGAAGGCAAAATATATGGGCATGAATGTTGTCATAAGGGGAAGGGCCCGTGGATAAGAACTTAGGCGACCTGATTTCTGTTCCCATCTTTGCCACTGATTGTGTGACGTTATTCAAGTAACTTCGGGTAACAGTTTCAAAAACACCTCAGTGATTTAGGTGCCTACATCACACCTTCTAAAAGGACTTAGGAACTTAAATCACTTTTGAAAATCTTACCATTCACCCCTTTGTACCTTAGTTTTCCCACCAGTAAAATAATGATCGTGCCACTTATCCGTCTTTCAGAGAGCACTGATCTATTGGTGAGAAGCACCATATAAGTGCGAAGTGATATTACTATATTAAACTGAGATGTTTGTTACTACCTGCCTTTACAAGTATGTAATGTTACTTATGTATGTGATATTATTCGTACTGAACTCTAAAAATAACTGAGTTGAGATATAACGCGATGAGCCAAATCCTTGTCTTAAACCAATCCTTGCACGTTTTGGAGTTGATACCAGTGGCATCTGGCCCTAAGTCCACCACCAGTCCAGGTCAGTTCCAAGGGAATGTGTAGCATAGCAAATAACAATCACTGTTTGGAATGGAATATAAAGCTTAAGTACAGAGACAGAGTTTTATCAGCCCCAGTTCCAACCTGTGGAACAAACTCCTTCAGGAACTAAGGACTGTCACAAACCTCACCCCCTTCCGCTCCTAAGTGCAAGGCACACTTCTTTGACCTGCTTCCTCTAACATAAACACACACAGCAGCAGGTGCACACTTAAAAATAATAAACAGTCAACAACACAAAACCTCTACCACAACAAAACACTCCACTGCACCCATATTTCCCTGCCTGCGGAGAGAATGAGAGAGAGAACGAATTAGACATGACAGATGTTAGCTACATTACTCAATGCACTGGTGGAAGGAGCTCGGATAGTACAATGATGAGGGAAGTATAAAAACCTGTGTAGAATAGAATAAATAGAATGAAAGTAATTATGAAGGAGTAATAAAAATTAAATTAAAAGTTAAATTAAATAATAACTTTCCCTTTAACTATTTTACTTTTAAACTGACAAAGCACTGTTAGTCCTTTGCATTGGTTTTGTCTAAGATACTCTCCTCTACCCAGAAAACTGCTATTTTGCTTCATAGTTCCACTATCCATATAAATAGCTTTTAATAAGGAGAAAAAAGTTTCTTCAGCTGGTGTCTTGTATTTCCAGCCATCACTCATAATTTGTGTGTAAATTGGGTGGGATATGGATATTTATCTTTACAATATCCAGCCAAATGTTTCTTTCTTTGGCTGAGTTTCAGTTTTGAGTTTCACCCATGTTCCAGTTTTGGAAAAGATATTGTCACTTCCCACCTAACAGATGACTTTAGGAAGCGCACAGTCGTCCTTGACATCAGAAGTAGGCTTCTAAACCAACGTGCGGTTGCAGCCTGTCATGTTAAGTTGCACGGATGTAGTTGTAGCTATCACTTTAAGTAAAAAGAAAATGTGCTTTTGATATCATTTGTAATAATTACTAGGCCAAATATCTTGAGCGGGTATAAATCAGAGTAGCCTCACTGACTTCGTTTGTAGACTCCTTTTTGGGATCATTAAGAAAATGTAAAATAGTTTAAACTGACATCTGCAGTGACAGTTGTACTTGAAATGCTCAATTGTTTCATCCTTTATTTAAATACCACACCACTTTTTTTTTAACCAACAGACAACAGTACCAGGGAACACAAATTATATCATCCTGAGATCTCTCCAGCCTGACACACCTTACAAAATAACTGTGGTTCCAGTTTACCCGGAAGGGGATGGTGGACGTGTATCTGACACTGGGAGAACTTGTAAGTGAAGTGGTCTTATTCATAACATCTTTGGATTTATATATAAATAATTCAAAATTATAGATAGTATAGTCTGTATAGTCCTAATTTACTTCACATTTCCTCTGCAAATTTCCTGATCCTGAGTTAGTTGTAGGGCAGGTACACAAGAATGATGTTCACATGTATTACTGATCATGATATGAGTGTATCATGATTCACTTTCACAATGTAGGTTTCAGAGTAGCAGCCGTGTTAGTCTGTATCCGCAAAAAGAACAGGAGTACTTGTGGCACCTTAGAGACTAACAAATTTTGTTAGTCTCTAAGGTGCCACAAGTACTCCTGTTCTTTTCACAATGTACTCAGTCTTCATTGCTTTCTGTAAGGAAGGCTTTCAGTCTGCTTTTGCTGACAGGAAGCAGGTTCCAATGATTAGGATGTTAGCTTGTGACTTGGGACACATGAGTTCAATTCCCTGCTTTATCACTGACTTTCTGTATGCCCTGGGGCAATTCACTAGTCTACCTGTACCTCAGCTTTCTAGATATAAAAATTGAGACAATAGCACCTGCCTACCTGATATGGGTGTTTGTGAGGATAAACACATTAAAGACTGCGAGATGCTCAGATACTGTGGTAATGAAGGCCATATAAGTACCTTAGATAGATGAACTGTTATCTTAGCACCTTTTTGTGCTACTATGTGAGTCGGGACAGAACAGAGTTATTCTTGTGTACTCATCTCTGTAACACTTATTTAAATTATCCTTGGCCTAGTGGTGAGAGGAGCGGCAAGAAACATACAAGTTTACAACCCAACATCGAACACCTTGAATGTCCGATGGGAACCTGCACCGGGTCCAGTACAACAGTATAGAGTTGTCTACGCTCCGCTGGTTGGCCCAAGGCCATCAGAGTCTGTAAGTTATTCAGCCTCTTGAGTATCCCTCAAAGAAGTGGTGAGGATGTCACCTCCAATGATCACTGGCTCATAGTAACAAAACAGTTGTAACCAGGGGCGCGAGCAGATCTCCTAAGCAGAAGGCCCAGAGGTCTCCCTTCCATGCTCTGCACCATACTCTTTCCCCCACACTCTTCCCCTGCAACCAACCCCACACATCATCCCCACCTCTGCTGCCCTTGCCCCCAGCCCTGAGCTCTCATTCGCTGTTGCTGCACCCAGATCGATGCTCCCCACCTGGCACCCTACTTTACACACACTCCCCTCCAGGTGTACCCCATCTAGCCACATGCTCTTCCCCCACGGAACCAGCTCCAAGCTTTCCCCCTGCACCCAGCCCCATAGTCTCCTCTCCCCTCACTCAGCCCTGAGCTATTACCCAGGGGCGTGGTCAGGCTGAAGAGCATCATCCCCACTAGAGGCCAGGGAGTTCTGGGACCACTAGACCCCATCTCCTGCTCCATCTCTATTTCTCCAAGAAGCACCAAAAGTCTGGATTCAATCCTCCCACCCTCCCACCCTACTTCACTTTGCCCTGGGGCTGGGGGTGCCCGGTGCCCCTGTTCCCCCCTCATTACACCATTGATTGTAACCATCTGCATGCAGCATCTCCGCTGAAAACCCCATTTCCATATGAATTTAATGTACTGTATATAATTGCACCATTCAGTGGAGTAAAAGAATAAAAGCCCCACCCATTTTAAATTTGCTATTGAGAATCCTTTATTGTATTGCCAACAAAAGGGAATTAAATTGGAATATTGATTTTTAAATATAAGAAATACAAAGCAAAGTCTATTTATGTGTATGTGGGAATGGCTTCAGGTCTATCTTGGGATGTAAAATTAGGACTTTATATATGCTTTGATTTGGATAAGAAGTTGTAGGGGTACCTGAGCCCTAGTATGTACAGACAATCACCCACACTCTACAAATATGTGCACTATGAACAGTCCAACATCTGTGTGAACCTGTTAGAATTTGTAATGTATTGTTTGCATCTGTCAAGTGTGGGTGCTTATAACTGCACACACATGTGAGACCTAATAGAGGCCCTTTTGAAAATGTATCCTTAGCATATGTCAGTAAACCACAATGGAGGAATATTTTGCTCTGGATTTCTGCATGTCTCTATCTTTACCAGTCGCAGCTTTTTCATTTTTATTTCATGATCAAATAACGTACAATAATTATGGTTTTAAACTATCAGCATTTTGCACAACTCCTGTATTCTACTGCCACATAATTGCATCTCCTGCTGTTGAGTTTTGTGTTAGGCAAGCAGTACTGGCTGGTTCCTATAAACTTGCATAATTGTAGTTGGAAAATACACAACAGGATCAGGCTCCTAAATTTCCTCCTTTCAGTATAAATGACTGATAATTAATTTGGATAATAATAATTTTACAAGGCATTATCCGTATTAGGATGTTGTATGGACCTGTCAGATAAAAGTTCACTCTCTTTTCCCTCCTAGATTGTGGTCCCAGCGAACACTCGCGATGTTGTGCTGGAGCGCCTGACCCCTGACACTCCTTACTCTGTGAACGTTGTGGCTCTGTATGCCGATGGAGAGGGAAATCAAAGCTCTGGGCAGGGGAGAACAAGTAAGAGACAAAATTATGTTTATTTACTGCTATCTTAGTGTCTCTATTTGCTGCTTATATGAGTGAGGGATTGCCTACAAACAAATGTCATGTACACTTCCCAGTGTAGTTCTGCCAGTTCACCTAAGTAATGGCTTTTTCGATTTTAGACCTCCCTGGAACCAGGGCTGGCTCCAGGCACCAGTTTAACAAGCAGGTGCTTGGGGCGGCCAAGGGAGAGGGGCGGCACCTGTGGCAATTCGGGGGCGGCAGGTCCCTCACTCCCTCAAGGAGCGAAGGACCTGCCGCTGAACTGCCGCCGCTGATCGCGTCTTTTTTTTTTTTTTTCCATTTGCCGCCGCTGGTGGCGGTCGCGGCTTTTTTTTTTTTTTTTTTTTCTTGGAGCGGCAGAAATGCTGGAGCCGGCCCTGCCTGGAACAACAGCTGCCAATTAAACCAGATTATCTGTTAGTTGTAATGCAGATAAATTCTTACTAGGGACCAGACTAGACTGACACTTGTGATGTAAGCTTAAAATGAATCTAGGTCTTTAGCAGTAAAAAAGTCCTTTCGCCTGTAACATGCAATTACAGCTACACTCCTAACTCTCTCTCTCCAAATCAAACAGCACATTAAAATGGACAGTTTGCTGCCAAAACAGAGGCATAAATTTCAGCTTCAATTCTAGGTCTTGTCTGCCATAATAATCACATGAGTACAACCCAGGGCCAGATTTAGGGGCAGGCGACCCAGGTGACCCAGGCTTGGGGTGCTGTTTTTGTTGTTAGCGACAAAACGGAACATGTTTGAAGTAACATGTTTCAGGTATTCCATATGTGGATTCATTTTTCACTAACCTCCTAGAATGTTCCAGACCTTTGTAGAATCTCATGGAATCTTCCAGACTTTCTGAGAACTACATTTTCTTCAAACCTCCTAGAATGTTGTTAGCCATGCTCTTGCGGGTATATTATGGTCGGGATGTCACCAGTCAAACAGTAAGATATAAATACAGATTTACAGATCCTAGTGTGCAAATTTATTGTCTTATATGACAGCGATAAATCATGCATGCAAATCGTGCATCAAAATCATGAAATGTGCTACAAAAGCAATAAAAAGTAAGATATTCAAAATGTTAACAAATGGAGGGAGGGGGTGTGTTGAAAATGCTCCTTGCCTGCGGCGCCATTTGGTCTAGGGCCAGCCATCGTACAACCCATTGTAGGGAGTCCACAAAAATCTGCCCCCCCATTACCTGAAATAGCAAAACCTGTTTGTTATCACCTAATGTACATGTACATGTACATGCAGGGGTCAGTGGGAGTCCTTGATGTGCACTCCAGGGCAACATCTGATCCATTGACAAAGACAGTTCTATATCCCAGGGTATCATAATGTGAAAGGACTTCTGTCTTCACTGCACTTCATTGGTCCTTATACATATTCCCCTTTTAGTACCTCGCAGTGGGCCAAGGAACTTGAAGGTGTTTGATCCAACAACAAACAGCCTGTCTGTACAATGGGACCATGCTGACGGGCCAGTTCAGCAATACAGAATAATTTATTCACCCACCGTTGGAGACCCCATAGATGAATATGTAAGTGCCTATATATATAATTCATATATATATATACATAATCATTCATTAATAAGCATTTAAATATCCTCTGTTGATATTAGAGAAAAACAAAAATATCTGATATTTGGATATTGTACATTTTGGTTGCTTAAGGGGTGCATTGTTTGGGCATTATTATATAGGGCAATGTTAAGTGGCGCACTTAAGCAGCTGGGTCTTAGTCTCTTGAGTGAAACAGTCAGTTCCACAGAGTAGTTGCATACGTAAAATACAGAAAGACACCAAGGCCTTGAAAGCAATGCATATTATAGTGTTAAAGTTGAGATCAAGGAGAAGATTCTGAGCTGAGCTTATCACAGTATGCTTAGTTCAAGCCATTGTGCCCGGGTAAATAGCCATGTGTTGCTTCACATACTATGTATTATCATGCTAAGACTCCCGGTAAACACAGCACCATACAGTATATGGGGCAATCAGTAGGTAGAATGAGCTGCGTTAAGCAAGCTGGATTAACTTGAATTCAAATTTTATAGTACTTGCTTTTGTGGTTTTGTCTGAATTGTAACAGTTTGTGCCTTAACTTTCTGCTGCTTCACATCAAGTTCCGTGGCACAAAGATTTGGCCTATAAAGCACTATATAACTGCCTGTTATTATTTATTTATTATTGCTGAATAGGGCTGGTTGAAAATTAGCCATTCAGAATTAGTTTTTGATGGGAAATTGTATTTTCAACTAAACCGTTTTTTTCTCAAAAGATGTCTGCTTTCTGCAAAAAAAATTGACTTTCCTTAAAAAAACTAAACACTGAAAACCAAAATCATGCTGGTTTTCAGCCCAAAACAGAAAACATTTTGTCCAAAGACTCAAAATTTCGATGAGAAAATACCACGGCAGTGTCTCATGGGACTTGTAGTTCCTGTGCCTTATGCACTCATTCTCCTCTTTGGGACCATTTGTACTACATCTCCCATGATGGGTTGTGGCCATGGCACTCCCATGATGCACCACAGTGTCTCTACAAAAGGAGAGACCATGATGTCTGGCTGCAGCAGGAAGCAAGTAGGGTAACAGATTGCATAACTTAGGCAAAATTTTGCACATCAAAATAATTATTGTTGACATTCATAAAACATTGATATGGCAATGTGGAATACTGTGTACAGTTTTGGTTGACAAGATGTATTTCCAGCTTCTAGATAGAGAGTGGAGGACGGTAATGGGATTGAGTAATAGTGTAGCTGGTTCTGTCTGAAAAGGAAAGGTTAAATGTGCTTAGTATGGAGAAAAAAAGGAGACTGAGAGGGAATCTTAATATGGCTTTTCAGTTTTTACAGGGGATGTAGAAGTATCCAGGACATTATTTGGTCCAACTACTGTACAAAGAATGTGGAAAATATGTGGTCATGAAGAGAAGTTGCAGACTGTTAAGGTTTAAGCCAGATACTGGAAAGAGCGCTTACTTCTCATGAAGAGTTTTTGGACAATGAAACAGCTGTGGGAGCAGATGGCACAAATTAGATTTTTTAAAGGAAAAATTCAGCTGTTTTATAGGAAAGGTTGATTAGATAGATAAATGTATTAAAATAATAACTAGTATTTGTTACTTTCGAATTTTGAATGTTAATGTTAAGGGACATTTGTGGAGGTTTCACCTTTTCTATGCCTGTGGATGGCTCTGACTTTATATTCTGGAGGCTGATATATATCTTGAAATTCATATCTGGTTTAACTGCAATGGCTCAGTGGAGATACACCATGAATTAATATAGCTAATTTGTGACAGGTAGCAAAATGTCATGTCTTTATCTCATCCCTCTCCGCACACCCTTTATCATAGCCCTACCAGCTGTCATTCCATAGCTTCTCCTCCCCCAACCAGCCTCACCTTATCTATGGATTTGGGAGAGTCTCCAGGCCCAGTTCACACCTACTTTTCCCTTCTGTATGTGTCCTCCCTATCTCTCTTTACCCTGCTGTTCTGGCCCTGTGCTCCGGAGAAGGTGACCATGGTGTTTGTGGGTATTCTGCCTTTTCTCTACTCCACACTCTCACAACGGAAACACACCAACAAGGTTATCTTCTCTCTCCCCTCCTCCCTCCAATAGCTTTGTCTTCTCTTGTTTATTCTCTCTCCAAAAACCCACAACAATAACTTGTCCTCTCTCCATGTGAGGAGGAAACAAACCTTTTGTGTGTGTGTAGGTGTTTAATTCTTGAACGAGGTCTGGAGAAGCCACAGGGAGCTGTGGAATATCACTCTGGTGTGGGGATAGCTACAATATTATAAAGGGAAGGAGACGAGGAGTCCAGTTTTTTGACAAAAGTTACAAAGTTATATTTAAAAATAATTTAAACAGGCCATACTGTTAATTTTATGCAGGTTGAAATTGTTCTGAAATGGTAAAGCAGTGGAGTCTTCCTTTCAATAAAATAGATTTCTCTATAGCTGGATTAAAAAACCACAGCTGGTTATTTGCAGTGAAATACATCCACAAATTCCATAAGGGTTGCTCATTTACAGTTCATTACAATTATAGGTCAGGTAAAATATTACAACATATTCATCTGTATTTCTCTCGTGATTTCTAGACAACAGTACCCGGAAGAAGAAATAATGTGATATTACAGCCACTGCAGTCAGACACGCCATATAAAATTACTGTTGTGGCTGTGTATGATGATGGAGACGGTGGACAGCTGACAGGAAATGGACGAACTGGTAACTTAGCTTTAGCATTAAGTACTGTATTCTCATTTCTCCTCCTTATTACTTAATAGTTCTGCTGCAGTAGTGCCAGAGGCCCCCATCTGTGTTGGGGCCCTGTTGTTCTAGGCACAATGTAAACATATCCAAAGACATAATTTCTTCTTCAGGGAGTTTACAATTTACCTGTTATACAGCTTTAAAAGGCAGTTGCTACTAATAACAATTCTAATGCTTATTCTTTCTTTTCAGTTGGGTTGCTTCCTCCTCAAAACATACATATTTCTGATGAGTGGTATACACGATTCAGGGTTTCCTGGGATCCCTCACCATCTCCTGTTCTTGGGTACAAACTTGCGTATAAACCTGTAGGTAAGAAAACCTGTCTCCTTTGAAGAGAACACTTTGAAAACAATGAGTAATGAGTTAAAAGATCTGGGTGGAAATATCCTGTGTATCCTCATGAAAACTGAGCCCTTTGCTTTAAAGGTGTTTTCTTTATTTATTTTAATTTGTGGGTTTATTAACTTTAAAGGAGTAAGATGTTTTCCTGTTAATTTCAGCGTTTCAAAAGAAAGACCATGAGAACACCACATACATTGTCACACACATTACAGCACATTTGATTTAAATACATATTTGACATTTAATACAACATGTATCTCCTGTCCCAGGCCTGTTCTCTTTTCATTTATACCAGTTTTTGTATCTTTCATGGAGATGCTCCTGATTTACACAAGTGTGTGATGAGAATCAGGCCCAGAGTTTGAATGAATGACAGTCCTTCAATGCTTTTATTTGACATGAGAATGAATCCACATTTGCATGCTTCTCTGGAAATTAAATTAAATACAAATATTGCACTAGTAAAGCTACATTTATTTTATTAGCAATGAGAATGTTTGTTTACTAAAGTAATAGGTTTAAGAAATAACAAGTATGTTTTTTAAAAACAAGGACCAAGTTTTGGGGCAGGTCTACACCTAAAATGCTGCATCAGTGCAGCTGCGCCAGTGTAGCACTTCATTGAAGACACTACTATGCCGAGAGGAGAGCTTCTCCCATTGGCATAGTTAATCCACCTGTGCGAGAGGCGGTAGCTATGTTGATTGGACAAGCCCAGCTTCTAGACCTAGTGCTGTGTACACTGGGGCTAGGTTGATATAACTGTGCCACTCAGGGGTGTGGCTTATATAAAAGAATACTGATAGTGCCATAGCAGAATGCTCATAGAATTGTGTGTCTTTTTCTGTGATTCCCTTTAACTCAAGGTTCTGATGAGCCGCCAATGGAGGTGTTTGTTGGGGAAGTGACTTCATACACATTGCACAACCTGTCTCCTAGTACTATCTATGATGTGAACGTTTATGCCCAATACGATTCTGGACTCAGCGCACCCCTGATTGATCAAGGCACTACATGTAAGTCCAAACCACTTTTATTGTAGTCACATAGGATATAATTGTTGAAGTGATCTCATGTTGACTGAAAAGTCTATATTTAGGGCCTTGATCCTTATGGTCTGCACACTCCACAATTCTGGATGCTCAGACCTGTGAGAATCAGGCCCATAAATAAAATTAAGCTTAGAAACCCAAATTATTTAAACATTGCTTTTACTAATGGCTTGCAATAGACAACCCTCTAGTTCCATTTCTTAAAATTTGTTTGGCTGTAGCTGGGTTTGAGCCTTCAAGGTGCTCAACACCTACTACACCCATTGGCTAGAATGTGCTCAGTAGATCACAGGGTGCAGTCAGCACCAGGCAGATTAAGGCCCCTCACTGCTTCTGAGTGCATCTCATGGTAATATCGACTGACTGCACATTCCATCAAAGCTGAACCTGCTCAGCGGAGGATTGGTTCGTTGCTGAACTCAGTTAATGAGCCATTTGAGATTTCAGCAAAAAAGGATGAGTTGTAAAATCCTGATTTTCTTAAATGGTCTCATTAAAAGCTCTTGGCACTGCCAGTAAATAAAATAAAATACAACACAACGGGGCCTGAATCAGATGCACTTTCCTCATGCTAAATATCTTTATAAGTGGTTCTATTGATTTTAGTGGGACAGCCCATAGAATCAGATAGTACTTAACATAATAAAGGGTATCAGAATTTGGGCTTTTGTAAATAACAGAGGTCAGATCTGTGGGACTAAACAGAAAGAACAGAGATGAATTGACTAGAACTATTTTTTTCTTCTGTGGACATTTTTAAAATAAAACCACATGTGGGCAAAATTTACTGCCATAGTGATATATGGGCCAGCAACTACTGATGCCATTGTTCTTTCTGATCTGGTTAATTTTATATCTAATGTATTATATTTCCCAGATAATAAACTGAACACTTTCCCTTTTTGCAGTGTACTTGAACGTCACTGATCTAACAAGTTACAAGGTGGGATGGGATACCTTCTGTATCCGATGGTCACCTCACCGGTCAGCGTCTTCCTACAGATTAAAGCTAAACCCAGCTGATGGTAAATTCCTTTGATTCCTTGTGTGTTCTGAGGGCAGATGTACATGTTACTTTTATGCCATGACTAACTAAGGATTGTAATGTGACAGGCTGAGGGCCCTGAGATTATGATAATTACAACTCCAGTGCCTCCCCCAGGAGCCAAGCTGTGTTGGTAAAACTCCCCAGGCCTGCACACAGCCTGCCTTTCTAAGAAGATGCAGATTGGAAATTAATGCTGCTTCTATCCATGTTAACTCCCACTAGGATTTCCCAATGGAGATCTGCTGCTCACCAGAGGTGATGAGTGCATACTATGGAGAGCAGCTGCTCTCTGCCTCTCCCCCTTCACAGCGTGGCAGCTCCCCAGTGTGCAGAGCGCCCACCTCACAGTGTTGCTGCACAGAGGCTTTTCTGAGCTGGGAAGAGCAAGCAGCGGAGGTGCCACTCATCCCATTTCAGCACCCTCCCTACATGCACTCTCTCTTGTTTCGTTCCGCACACCTATGGAAAGGGAAGTACTGGACCCTACATTTTCTTTCCTTTGGGTTTGTTTTCACAGGATCCCGAGGACAAGAAATTACAGTACGTGGGACAGAAACCAGCCACTGTTTCACTGGCCTTTCACCAGACACCGAATACAATGCTACTGTCTTTGTTCAGACCCCGAACCTTGAGGGACCGCCCATCTCTCTGAAAGAGCGCACATGTAAGTCAGGGGCAATATGAACAGTAAGTGTGTGAACAGAATGGGATGGAAATAGTCCAGACTACAGATCTTACAATTGTCTTGTTTGTACAAGACATACAGTACCACAACTGAGGGGTCTATTTTCCTGTGTCTTCAAGTCAGTGGGAAACTCCCTGAACTGGGGAACAGACAATAGCAATTATTTGGGGGAAATTCAAATGGCGTATTACCTTGCTCAGGTTAATCCCATTGGGCAGTAACCACAGAGTGAGAGATTTCTCAGTTTGTGTAAGAGTGGCAGAATCTGGCCCCTTGTCATAAATTAAGGACTTGCTTTTGTAACAGCAGATTTTTCTTTGCTGATTAGGAATTACTAGCCTTGGTCACCAATAAAAGCATTGATAGTTCTTTCCTCAGTCATACACAGGGTAATTCACCTGGGTGGAGTCTTTTCTTGAGTAAAATGTTACATTAAATAAAAGGTTTTAATTGTTTTACTTCAGTCATCAAACCCACCGAAGCGCCAACTCAACCGCCTTCTCCTCCTCCACCACCCACAATCCCACCAGCTCGGGATGGTAAGTGTGCATTGTAGATTCGTGGTATATTTTGTCTTATTTGCTGTACGTCCACACACTCAAAGGTTAGACTGAATTATATTTTTCCTAAATTGAAGTAACTTCAAAAATATATGGGCCTAATGATCCTCTGGCCCACTTTGGCCCTTTGCAGCAGCTCGGACACCATCACCTGCCTTGTGTAGACAGGGGAATAATGCCTGGGCCTTATTCCCTTTATACTAGCTATTTGCCAGGGTGTTGCATTGGGCTCAGATAGCCACTGGGTCATGGTAGCAGTGTGCGTAGATTTTGGGGAATGGCCATGACTCTCAGTATGCACTGTGGATTTGTAAGCTTTGCCTTTAGCATATGAACCTATTTTTGGTGTAGATTGCCAAGAAAACTGGTGTTAAGTTGCACGCATCAGGGTTTTGTTTCATATGAACTTTTTGCACATATATGCCAACATTTGACCTGGGATGTCCTTGAATGCATAGTGTGAAAATCTGCAAAACCCAGGAAATGCAAGAGATACATGCAAGAGAAACACTACTTTAATATTTAAGAGTAGTCTGCAGGTTGAGAATATGACTGAAGTTTGCTGAATGTTTGCTCATCTTTCTTGCTATAAAATTATAAAAACAGTGCTGTTTAGTCCTAAATGAGGTGGGTGTTTTAAGAGTTCATTGAGCTGTGCTTGTCTTTCAGTATGTAAAGGCGCCAAAGCAGATATTGTGTTCCTGACTGATGCTTCCTGGAGTATTGGTGATGATAATTTCAACAAAGTAGTGAAATTTGTTTTTAATACTGTTGGAGCCTTTGACTTAATCAACCCTGCTGGAATTCAGGTGAGTAATTTCCATTACAAGCATTTTACAGGGAAATTAAACAAACAAACCAACAAACCTGAATTCTTAAAGTCTCCTCTACCTTTCTCTATTGTATAGGATTTCTGCCAATTATTCTGGTACTATGTTGTGTGTATACATATGTGCACTGTGCTGTACAAACATAAAGGAAAACACAGTCCCCATCTAAAAGAGCGGACATCCTGAAAGACAAAAGACAGATGGCAAGCAGATGAAAGGGAATCAGCATACAGGCAGAGTGGTCAGGGTGCTCTGTGGCCAGTGTAATGTTAGTTGCATGTTTTTGTTTCTTTGTGCATATAAAATATCCTCAGCTGCCCCTCTCCATAGTTGTTATGAATGGGCTAATGTTTGTGTCACAGCAGAAGTGGGCGTTGAGAAGGAGTGTGGTGATGAATGAGGGTAATGTCTTGGTGTGTCAGTTTAGGAAGGATGGTGCATGTGCAGTGGGCAGAAGAAAGCATGGAGACAGTTGCAGGAGAAGAGGATTCACTGGATGAAATCGGATGCATCTTTAAAGAGAAAGCTATGAGGAATAGTGGGGAGGCTGAAACGGCTTGTCTTCCTCCTGGGGTTCTCTATGTGTCTCTGCCAGGAGTCTCTGCCAGACTCCTGAGGAGCCTTTAATTTTGTCTTATGTTAATCTCCTCATAGTCAAGCCCCTGCATCATGACTGTTTTCCTTCTAGTTAAGGGGAACTGGATAGGAGCTCTCTCCTGCTCTCATAAGCATTGCTCTTTGATTAGCTAGAGTTGAATGGCATGAGTAAGAATGTCTCTGGAGCTTTGCCATCACCGCTTGGTGCAAGACCATCTTCCCATGTAAGAAGGAAGACAGTGATTTTCCTTGGAAGGATGTTTTATTTCTGATTTCCTGAAATGCAGCACCCAGTTATCTTGCTCGTGAACAGTTCTCTCCTCCCCCAGGCATGCCTCTACGTCATTGGTCCCCCTATTTCATTCTGCAGACATACTTCTAGAGAGAAAGATCTCCTCCTGGAACACCTTCTCTCCAGTATCTTCATTCTGCCTACCTCTAACCTCACACTGCTTGGTTTTCAAACATTTTTCTTCTTTGGCCCAACAGGAGAGTTGCTGCAAATTAGCTGTTGGAGGACAATAGCTGTGAACTTCCTGGGCTTACTAGGGAAAGACTTAAAGCTCCTTTCCTCTTTTGTCCTGGGCTTGTTACATTGTTAGTTCTTCATTTTAGATATTTATGATGATTAAAAAAGATAAACTTATTTCAGTAAGTGTGAATACTTAGACATCTGCTCAGGACCAGCTTAGTAAGGGATGCTAATAATATAAATGGGACAGTCTAGAAGAAAGGATAGTAGCAAAATACGGACCCTGGACTTCAGAAAAGCAGACTTTGACTCCCTTCGGGAACTGATGGGCAGGATCCCCGGGGAAGCTAATATGAGGGGGCAAGGAGTCCAGGAGAGCTGGCTATATTTTAAAGAAATCTTATTGAGGGCGCAGGAACAAACCATCCCGATGTGCAGAAAGAATAGCAAATATGGCAGGCGACCAGCTTGACTTAACAGTGAAATCTTCAGTGAGTTTAAACTCAAAAAGGAAGCTTACAAGAAGTGGAAATTTGGACAGATGACTAGGGAGGAGTATAAAAATACACCTCTACCCCAATATAACGTGACCCGACATAACACAAATTCGGCTATAACGTGGTAAAGCATGCTTAAAAAGTATGGATTGGATGAATGCACTATATGATAGATAGAAAGCTGGCTAGATTGTTGGACTCAACGGGTAGTGATCAATGGCTTGATGTCTAGTTGGCAGCCGGTATCAAGCGGATTGCCCCAGGGGTCAGTTCTGGGGCCAGTTTTGTTCAACATCTTTATTAATGATCTGGATGATGGGATTCATTGCACCCTCAGCAAGTTCGCAGATGACACTAAGCTGGGTGGAGAGGTAGATACACTGGAGGGTAGGGTCCAGAGTGACCTAGACAAATTGGAGGATTGGGCCAAAAGAAAACTGATTAGGTTCAACAAGGACAAGTGCAGAGTCCTGCACTTAGGAAGGAAGAATCCCATGCACCGCTATAGGCTGGGGACCGACTGGCTAAGCAGCAGTTCTGCAGAAAAGGACCTAGGCATTACAGTGGATGAGAAGATGGATATGAGTCAGCAGTGTGCTCTCGTTGCCAAGAAGGCCAACGGCATATTGGGCTGTATTAGTAGGAGCATTGCCAGCAGATCGAGGAAAGTGATTATTCCCCTCTATTCGACTCTGGTGAGGCCACACCTGGAGTATTGCGTCCAGTTTCGGTCCCCGCACTACAGAAGAGATGTGGACAAATTGAAGAGAGTCCAGCGGAGGACAACGAAAATAATTAGAGGCTGGGGCACATGACTTATAAGGAGAGGCTGAGGGAACTGGGCTTATTTAATCTGCAGAAGAGAAGAGTGAGGGGGGATTTGATAGTAGCCTTCAACTACCTGAAGGGCGGGTTCCAGAGAGGATGGAGCTAGGCTGTTCTCAGTGGTGGCAGCTGACAGAATAAGGAGCAGTGGTCTCAAGTTGCAGTGTGGGAGGTCTAGGTTGGATATTAGGAAACACTATTTCATTAGCAGGGTGGTGAAGCATTGGAATGGGTTACCTAGGGAGGCGGTGGAATCTCCATCCTTAGTGGCTTTTAAGGCCTGGCTTGACAAAGCCCTGGCTAGGATGATTTAGTTGGTGTTGGTCCTGCTTTGAGCAGGGTGTTGCACTAGATGACCTCCTGAGATCTCTTCCAACCCTAATATTCTATGACTACAAGGAAATGCAAAATGAAATATACATTATATACATAGGCAGAACATTCACTCTAGATTTACATGGATATATACAAATATACAAGATGAGTTAATGTTCCAGTTCAGGAAATGTATTATACTGTATGTATCAAATGACAGAAATTCTGGCACATTCCCTATTAATTGCTATGTCATGAGCTTCTTGCGTTTTTTTGTAATCTTTAACAGTTTTTATAAATGCTGTATCCCTAAGCTGAACTAGAAAATCAGCACTAAATATGGTGCCACCATAGTTCTAACAAGTATTTTCTCATTAACACATTAACTGATAACTTTACCATTGTTATATCTATATTTACATATAACTTCAGTCATGGGTTTCCTGTTTCAATGGTGACTGACAAGATAATTCACTTTAGTGGAGAGATCACCTGAAGCCACACAGGTCAAAGGCTGAACGCTGTGCTGCATTTCATTTCAGGTTTCCTTTGTGCAGTACAGCGACGATGCAAAGTCTGAGTTTAAACTGAATACATATGATGATAAGGCCCAGGCTCTAGGAGCACTTCAGAATATTCGGTACAAAGGAGGAAATACAAGAACAGGTGCGTCTGATGAATAACGATGTATTCCTTCCCAATAATCCGTTTTTTGAAAACCTGTTTGTTATCTTAATCCCCTGTAGTTTAAGGTCAGGCCTTTATGTTCTACTCTTACTAGTTTATTCGTTCTTCAAAGCAAATATTTTCAGTGGCAAATGTGGCATGAGTCCTCATTCTTTGTGTAATTTGCAGGCAAAGCCCTTACATTTATCAAAGAAAAAGTCTTGACTTGGGAGAGTGGCATGAGGAGAGGTGTGCCCAAGGTACTTGTTGTTGTCACAGATGGTCGGTCGCAGGATGAAGTTAAGAAAGCTGCAGCAATCATACAGCACTCTGGTAAGCAACCTGTAGAACGAAGTTGAGTCTGACATTCATTTTACGAAAGAGTTTAAGTCATGCAATTTAACATATGGGTATATAACAGCATCAGGTATTGTTGGTCCTTTATTCATCCTAAATAGGTAGTGGTTCCTGAGAGAGACATTCGAATTACAGTATATGATTTGGAATGGCTCAAACTATTTTAAGAATGTTAAGATTGACTGGACCTAATTCTGGCCTCCTCTCTCTCTGTGGACAGAGCAGGCTTAAATGGTTTGCTGGGAATTCCCCTTACATAGTTACAGAACTTGTCCTATATCACTCCTGGCCCTTATCCGGGGGGCGGGGGCATTATTAAGTGCACTTCAGTCCAATGATCCTGATCTGTTGGAATGGCCCTTTGAGTCCTTTTAATGCTGGCACAAGTTAGAGCAGCCCTTCATTTACTCTACCTTGAGCAGGGGTCTGACCAGGCCCCTGGCTCTCCCACTCCGGTTTTGAGGAAGAGGTGGCCATCTATGGTCCCTCCTTAGATGGACCAAGTGTAGTTTACTGTAGCTGAGGCTCTAGTTCTCCAATTCTGCATTTTTAGTTCATATTTTGATATACAGTATAAGCAGCCTGGTGATTAATTTCCTATATAAGCATTTGTTGTGCTTCCTTACCTTAGCTCTGTTTCTTTGTGTCTGTTGATTAAGCCTCAGATTGCTTTGTTACCTTGGAATTCTGTATTTGTCCTCCTTGGGTTTCATATTAGCTATTAAAAATTGTTAAATTGGCCAAATTCAGCCCTAGTATAAGCAAGCATGCTAAAATCATAGTTACGGGGCTGATTGTAGCCCTCAACTTGTGTTTATATCGTACCTGTTTTGATTGCTAATACTTACTGAAAACAAGAACAACAACAAACAACCAAAGGCTTAAGAAAGCTTAAAGTGCATAATAAAGGCAGTTATATCATATTTGTTGAGCAATACATGTGACTGCTGCCTTCAGTGTTTGGGTTGAAGCCAGCATTTGAAATGGTACTTCTTGGGAGAATCACTTTTGCATTCTGAACTGTTTGGTTGAAAGTCCCTTTCCTTCTGCCTCACCTTTCCCCCAGTCTTCAGGTGTATCAGGGAGGTGACAAAGGAAGTGGTAGAGGGGATTTATTGATAGGATGAAGTGGTGAGAGAAGGAGGAGGAGGAAATGGGAGAGAGATATAGGCAGAGACAAAATTATGCAAAGTCCAGAAGCTGAAGAAGATAAGCTAACATTAATGTGCAAGGCAAGAAGATGACATTGGAAGGATTTGAAGAGGAAAATGACGGTCTAAGACTCAGATGATGAAGATGACGTTAGCCAGGGTGATTTGGATGGACCGTGGGAATGAGATGGAAATCAAGAAGCACAGAAATTAGGAGACTTCAACAGTCAAGGCAGGAAGTAACCAAAGTATGGATAAGGATTTTAGACATAGGGACAGAAAGGAAGAGTCAGATTTTTGAGATGTTGTAGAACAGACAGGATTCGGTGGCAGCCTGTATGTTTTGTGAAAGAGTAAGGAGGCTATCATAGCAAGGTTGTGAGCTTGGATGATGGGGAAGATGATGATATTGTCCAATGGCAGCGAGTTTTGGAAAAGACATGAGAAGCTCATCATAAGCCTTGTTGAGTTTAATTAGGTGATCTGATCTCCAGAGTATATATCAGAAATATAGTCAGATGCAGGACTGATGGAACAGGAGAGGTCAGGGATAGAGAAGATTTGTGAACTGTTGGCATGGAGATGACAGTTGAAGCTTGGTGAGTGGATGAGTTGCCCAGGGATAAGCTATAAGAAAAACAGGAGAGGACCAAATAGCAGAGTCTTGAGGGTTGCCAAAAGTGTGGAAGAGGAGAGGAAGAAGAGAACTGGAAGGAGCAACCTGACAGGCAGGAGAGGAAGCCAGGATGAGAAAGTGATCAACAGTGTCTAAAGTGGAAGGTATTTTTTAATCATCCTTTTTATTGAAGAGCAGAGCGTAACTATTTTTGATTAGTTTGTCTTGGGAGTAACCCAGAACTGTTATGCTCTTCATTTCTCCTTAGATGCCTTCCCATAATGTTTTCAAGGATCCCTCTCATAAGATAATACCGTACATTAGAAAACAGTTCATTTGCTGTTTGGCTTCCAGGGGTTTATACAGTAGTTGTTTAATACCAGAAAATTCAGGGTTTCTATTCAGTGTCTTCATTGGCATGAGTTTCTTCACCCTCTTCTTGCAAAAGGAAATGTTCAGAATAGTATACTTTCCTCTTCTTGATTCAGGGAGATTGGCTGGGCACTTCTGATCTAAATTGTGTACTTAAGTATGTCTCTTCCTTGGGTGTTCAGTCATCTAACTCATAGATTCATCCCTTTCAGCCATTTATTTAGCAGCAAGAAGACCTCATAAAAAGACTCCTTCTGCCTATTTCAAACAGCTTTGTGCAGCTGAATGATTCCATAACAGCACTTCCCTTCCCTGCAGGACATGAGTCCTTTGCGCCAATTTTTTGCCGTCGGTTTAAAATATTGCTTGTTCTGTTTCATCAAGGTAATGGAGAAAGAGTTTCTCCATTTGATATCCCTTGGTCAAAAGTATATTGAATACTCTTCTCCACTGGATTTTACTTTATTCTGTATTTTATCCAGAAAGTGCAAAGGGACTGGGTTCAACCAAAAGTATATTCTACTTGCATTATTTGGTTCTTGTATTTTTTAACAGAGAATACAGTATCTTTACATGATTGGGATTTGATATTGAGTTACTGAGCCAATGATAATGTATAAGCATGTATATTCATTGCATTTTCATATAACAAACATTATTTTTGCAGGTTTCAGCGTCTTTGTTGTTGGTGTAGCTGATGTGGATTACCATGAGCTGTCAAAGATTGGCAGCAAACCCAGTGAACGTCATGTATTTATCGTTGATGACTTTGATGCCTTTGAAAAGATTGAGGAGAACCTCCTCACTTTTATTTGTGAGACAGCTACCTCAAGTAAGTAAGAAACAATGTTTCTCTCACAAGCTAGTAAATTTGACTGTACTGCTACAACTCTCATGTCAAGGCTTTCCCATTTACACCTTTTTGAAGAAACGTTAATATATATTTCCAGTGAGCAAGTGCATGTTTCTTATTTAAGTGGTTATTATATTTTTATCTTATCTCCCACCCTGAGATGATACTCTATTAAAAAGTGAATAAACAATAAGTGACAATTATTTTTCTTTGAAGAGCAAGTAGAATGGTAGCTAAAATGGACTTCTGGATGTGACAGATTTCCTCTTTACCACTGTTTTTTGGCTGCATTGGGGATGTAGCTAACCAGTGTCTAATATTACTTTTATAAAGATCTAAAATAAAATCCATCTGTTTACAAATCCGGAGTCCTTCTATGGCAAAAAAAAAAAAGGAAATATTTGTACATTTGTATCATCTGCAACTATGTGTTCACATATTGCCTCCTCCACATACGACTACGGAGCCGTATAAATCTGCAGTTTTTCCTTGTGAATCTGAGGAATAATATGCAGTCTGACTCATGCATAAAAGATCCATGGAAAGATTGTGTCATTGTGCCCATTTCTTTTTATGAATTGGGCTCTTAAAATAAAATATACTTGAAGCTCATCTGTTTGCTATTCCTTATATTCCAGCATGGTAGAAATAGTACATTAAGATGCCTCATAAATAAGGATTTGAACATTTCACCAACATAATTGGAAATCTACTGATTGATCTTGAGCAGAATAAAGCAAAGGATCACAAACAGATGATAATTATTGTAGTGGCAGATGTTGGCTGGTAATTAACAATAGTTCAAACTTACCGGAATAAAATCTTTTGAAAATATTTGTATGTTCATGATTCCATTTGAATTTTTTAAAATAACACAGTTTTCATCTGTTTCAGCTTGTCCTCTCATTTACTTGGAGGGATACACTTCACCTGGTAAGAATCATATACAAACATCCTAGTATAGGATAATTCTGAAGGTTTTTTTTTCATTTATCACAATTTCTCCAAATTGTGTTTCTCTCCCCTTCCCCCCCAAAAAGGTTTCAAGATGTTGGAATCATACAACTTAACAGAGAAGCATTTTGCCTCTGTACAAGGAGTATCATTGGAATCAGGATCCTTCCCTAGTCACGTGGCATACAGGCTCCATAGAAATGCTTTCATCAGTCAGCCTGCATCGTAAGTTATCTGTGTAACCTGTTTTCCTGGAACACTTTATATAGGGGGGAAAGTGGGGAAAGATAATAGAATTTATAGGTAATGGTATTAATACCTGCTGGAGGATGAGTTTTATTTTGTTTTTGTTTTTACTGAAGTCCAAGAAATACACTCCAAAGAATGTGCAACCATTGCTCTGATTAAACGTTATTCAGTTCCTTCATTAGTGGTCCTTATATTGGTAGTTCCAGCTTCATGATTATTATTATTATTTGCATTACTGTAGTTCCTAGGAGTCCCAGTCATGGACCAGGACCCCATTCTGCTAGGCATTGTATGAACACAGAACAAAAAGACAGTCCCTGTTCTTTTCTCAAGAGGATGCCTCATATAACCAGGCCTACTTTAGTTAATTAATTTAATTCACATTACAGGCCCTATGCAATAATAAAAAAAAGCCCTCTGTGGCTACTTGTGCAAAGAAACCACTTAGCCAGGGAGACTGTTTTTGATTCTGAAGGATAAGTGCCATTTGTTTAGAAGTTGTAACAGGCAACACATTTCTGCCTATGGTCACAATTCCCCAGGTGTGTGACACCACCCAGCCCAGTCACCATATTGGACAAACGGAGAATTTTTCAAGGAGCTATGGCCTGAAGCAAGTCTTCCCTAGCTGACCACTCTGTTCTAGAGCTCAGCTAGGGAGATACTGAGAGGGGTAATGTGGGACCCTCACAAAAAACAGAGCTAGCTAGAATAAGAGGAGTCCAGTCATGGAGGAGAAACCCCTTTCCCCTCCCAACCACGAAGGGAGGATCCAGAAGTTTCTTCTCTCCCCACTCAGGTAAAGTTTAGAATTTAGCGTTGCTCTGCCAGAGGGCACGTCTAGAGCCAGTCCACCCTTCCCCCTCCCCATTTTTTATATCATGTAACTCTAGTTGTCCAGTTATGGGAACTTTCGACAACTGTGCAACCCTACCAGAATGGATAGAAGGGGGCAGACCAAACATAGGAGAATTGCCAAATATAAGGAATAAATTTAAGCAGGCTCTTTCCCCTTCCCTTTGCCAGCTTGCTCAACTCTCAATGTGCCAAGGTGGAGTATTTGGGGACTTTTTTTTTGTCTTCTTCGGTCAGCCAGTCTTTCCCTTTGATAGCTTGACCTGGGAAAGAGCAAAATTCTATGGCTTTCTGGATATTGCAGGACTCATAAAGTGCAGATAGTTTGCATTCAGTAGAACCTTATAGCTTGCTTTACCATTTTATTAAGTCAAAGCCTGCACCTAAGTGGGACCTGAGTAAGATGTTTTCTGTGTATTCAAATTAGGAAAAATATTGAAGAGTTGGCTGGCTGACTGTAGGTAGAGAGAGAAAGAGAGAGAGTGCAAGCAAAAATAGCCTTTGTGGGATCTTCTTGATACATATATATTATATAAAGCCAGAAAATTAAATTCAATTTAAACAGTAGTGTTCAGGAAATCAATGCTCCCTAGGAATCCTAATGGCACAGTTGCATTAATATCTGAGTTATCTCTTGATATTGAATTATACATAGATTTGTCATATTCACTTGCTTATCTTGCCCCTTATGTCAGCCACCTTTTATTGAAGCAGCGATATGGTTACTGTAGTAGCATGATACTAAATGTAAGGGGTTGTCAGTTTTGTCCAAAATATATAAAAGCTTCACTACCAGTTTTTGAGGTTTCTCTGTTTTAGCTCACGGGACCATATGGCCTTCTCAGCCAATAGCAGAGTTTCAGCAGTAATGGTGTCAGCCATGTTGTTGGCTAAATTGAAACAAAATTTGCTCCTCCTTCTCAGTTTCCCTCACATCTACCCTGCTGCTTTCTTTTCACTTCAGACATTGCTCAGCCAGGCAATGCTCAGCCAGGCCTGCTCAGCCAGGCCTCCGGGTTCCCTTTAACATACTTTCATTTACTTGTGGTTTTCTGTCATTTGGTGTCCAACAGGGTCCATGACACAAGCCTAAAAATCCACAGATGACAACTAAGGAAGCATGCCCCAAAATGCTGCACGACATCTGTGGAATAAATTTAATGTCTCCTTCTCCCATTGCACCCTCTGCATGTGAGCCAGCCACAGTTGAGTTCCTTGTGCTCCCAGTGCCTGACTACTCAAAATGGGATGTGCAGGGCAAGAACTAGGTTATGGTCCATCTTCTTCCTGTATGGATCACCAGCTGAGTTTATATAGGAGCAACCCACTCCACATCCTGTAAATGTAACAGAGGTCAAGCACCAAAACCTTGGCTGAGTCAACTAGAATGCCTTTAGAATGCCTATTCTTGCTGGTCTTGCATCAATTTCTCCCCACCTCCACTCTAATGCAGGCTGGGAGTTAAAGTCTCAACATAGCCCATAATGTGGTTTCTCTTTGCTTAATTCTTTGCTATTTGATTAAAGAGTTAACAGGCTGAGCTTTGCTAAACGATGTAATTTTCCCATTTTGATTATGTCCTCTCTTTTAAAAAAAGTGAAAACGATGAAGATCTTTCCTTTTTCTATGCGTGTTTGATGCAAAATATCTTCATGTTCTCTGAACAGGGAGCTTCATCCAGATGGATTGCCACGTGCTTACACAATCATACTGCTGTTTCGCCTTCTTTCGGAAACCCCCAATGAGCCATTTGCAATTTGGCAAATTACAGATAGGGATTTCAAACCACAAGTCGGAGTAATCCTTGATCGTAAGGACAATTTTACTAATTGCATAGAGAATTTGTAGATAGAAATTTACAGTTGTTTTGCATTCTTTCTAGAATTGTTTCAAAACCAAAATATTCCTACATGGTAAAAAGGTATATTATTTTGTGATCTAAATGTTTTTTTAATATTGTATTTCAATTAATTATTCAAAAATCTGTATAAGCACTATGTTTCTTTATCATTATTAAATCTAAGACCAGTGGAATGCTCACTTTCACTAATCTGGGTCTTTAAAACTGTCCCAGTAATAGCTGTGTATACAATTAAAAATGTACTCGGTAGAACTGTACAGTGTATATGTATGTATTGTTAGTGTGATGGTGTTCTCTTCTTTGAATAACATCAGCACTGTGACCCAAATGACATTTATTTATTGTATCTTCTTGTTGCAGCTTCCACCAAATTATTGTCATTCTTTAACAAGGATACAAGAGGAGAAGTTCAGACAGTAACTTTTGATGATAATGCAGTAAAGAAAATCTTTTATGGAAGCTTCCATAAGGTAAAGGATTAAAATTATGTGCATATTATCTTGCAAAGTGCTTCTCTGTTAAACAAACAAGCAAACAAAAACAGCTGTCATATTTAGACACAGGGCTGGCTCCAGGTTTTCTGCCGCCCCAAGCGGTGGGGGAAAAAACAAAAGCCGATCGGCGGCACTTCGGCGGCAGCTCAATCGCGCCGCTCCATTCTTCGGCGGCACTTCGGCGGCAGGTCCTTCACTCCCTCTCTTCCTCTTCAGCGGCACTTCGGCAGCAGCTCAAAGAGGAAGAGAGGGACTGAGGGACCCGCTGCTGAATTCCCACCGAAGACCCAGACGTGCCGCCCCAATAGCGGACGGAGTGCCACCCCTTTGTATTGGCCGCCCCAAGCACCTGCTTCCTTAGCTGGTGCCTGGAGCCGGCCCTGTACAGACACATACATTTACATAGTGGTTTACAAATCATAGTGAGACAAGATGCCTGAAGTAATACTTTTCAAGCTCCTATTGATGTCAGTGAAAATGACATGGGGTCCAGTGTTAGAAAGGATTTGCCAAAGGTGTGGAGGGAGGGCTGTATGTGGACAAGAGGCGGGAGACTCTTCCAAGTATATGAGACAGCAAGAAAATTATGAAGCAGAAAATAGGGAAAAGAATCCATAGAGAGAAACAATTGGGAGGAGCCTAGGGAAAGACAGAGAAAAGAAGAAGAAATAGGAGCAAAGATATGTGTGGGTGTGAGAATATGCAGTCAATTGTGAGGCATCAGTAGTTTAAAAGATAAATAGCTATTTGAATTGAAGTCATGTGCTTAACAAGCATAATACATGTAATGCCCAGTAATTATACTAAGTGCATGGCTTCTGAAATATTGAGTCTAAAATATTTAATATGAATTTTAGCCAAGGTGTACAATACTTAACTAATCACGTAAATTACTGTATCTGGAGAAAGCACATATTGGTTGATAAAGTATGATTGCAAGTATGTTTTTCTTGAGCTGGAACTCTTACTCACTTCTCTGAAAGCTAGCACCAGAATGTCTTCTGTCTGTATCATCACCTTCAGCTTCCAGCCTGTGCATAGCATTTTTGATCAAATGTTTGCCAGTTACAGCTGTGCCTTGAGCCAGGCAGGATCAAAACTGACTTAATTTCTCAAGATTAATAACTGTGTTGGGAGAACGTCAGCTCTCAGTTACCCATAGGCTCATCTAGATCAACGAGATACGTGTATTTGTTGGTTGAGCAGAGCACAGAGGGTCAGGAGACCTGGATTCTGTTCTTCTGTTGGCAGCTGGCTTAGTCTGGGACCTTGATCCATTCCTTTAACTTCTCACTATCTCAGAGTACCCGTCTGTAAAACGGGAACAACACCAACTTTTGTAAGTCTCTCTGAAATCACAAATACAATGACTACATAGATGCTAAGGTTTTATTTTTTTATGTAGTGTCTGTGCAGGATGCGTACACAGCGAATGCCTCTGCTGCTTGTTTGCTAGGAATGGGGTTGGCACCTGAATCTGCAGTGGCTGAATAGAAAAAGGATATAGGGGAACATTGGATTAAAAGAGATAATTAATGTAAATGCCATTTTTAGACTGAAACTCAGTGTTTCAGAATTGTCTAAAGCATAAATAACTAGTGAGATGTTTGACTATTACCCCAGTGTCACACAGCTGTAGTAATTTTATGCACAGATTATGCATATCCATTTTTGTCTACTTAATTCTGAAAATTTGATCTGAATAGGCTTGTCTGCCTGTAACCAAAGAGCAGATAAAAGAGTCTGGCCCAGACCATATGAATACATAGGCCTAAAAAAAATCTCTCTGCTTTTTTAAGCAGTTAAATGTAAGCTATGAAAGTGAGTTAGAATAACAACATTTTCAGTCAGCTGAAATATATGTCCTCTTTGCTTTTCTTTATCTCCCTTTTCCTTAGCTTTCTTCTGGCTACTGCATATAGTTGCAACAGATCCCTTTATTGATACTAAAATCAGGTTGCTACTATTGCCGGCTGATCCAGATCATATTGCGATCCTATCCTACTCCCAGGGACCTCAGCGAAAGCGGGCTAGGGTTTTTAACTTCTCTGTAGTAACTGTTTTTTTTTGTGCCAGCATTCTAGTATGTTGAACCATGATCTTCACACCTAATTAAAACACAAGTGAATAAAAGTCACTCACTGCTAGCTTTTTATAGTTTAACAAGCACAGGATACTGCCAAAAACATCATCTTGGGTACATTTCTTTTCTGTTGTAATGAACTTTTCTTTCTCCACTTTAAGAAATGTTTATCTCAGGGACTTTGGGAAAGATGTCAGTAAGTGGGTTGGATCACAGCTGCATAGCCCCTAAATCTAGGGTGGTCTCTGTTTTATGCTTGGCTTCTGGCCCTTTGTCTTTCTTTCTATAACAGTTCAGTAAGATACTTGAATTTTAAGTAGTTTTGTCCATATACAGAAATGGAGTAATACTGTCAATAAAATGTAGAATAAATATTTTTGTTGGCATGAAAGTTATATTCATATTTATAACAAAAAAGCAGTTATAAAATGCAGAATAGCACTTAACATGTCTTATTCCAGATGTCAGTCTCAGGGTTCAAACTTCTGTCCTAGAGGACTACAAAATACCTGAGTCATTTTTCTAAAGCTCTGAGCGCTATGCTACCAACTTTCTTTTGAGGTGTCCATCATTACATACATTAGCAGCTGGTGTCATGTTGTTCTTAGCATCTTACTATGAATACAGCAGAGGTGACAAAGTTCTCTGATACTGCTCGTAATAAAGATCAGCTTATAAATCAGAGCTAATGGGAACAAAAAGATAGGGAGTTAGTTGTGTGCATTAACTACATTCAGTAAGGCAAAATAAGAATGTAGCATTTGATGTTATTTCTGTCATTAAATAAATGCAGATACCTACCTGATCACCACTAATTGAGGAGCAGCAGCCATTTGCAAAGTATTTAAGAAAATCCAGATCCATAAACTGACTACTAGACTATTCCTTATTCTTTAGGGGCAATTGAAATATGTATCCATTCTTTGATGTGGCGGAATGATTCCTTGTACCCTATTCCCAGAACTGAATCAGTAGATCAGAGATTATTTACACCAGTGTATATCTGGAGTAATTTTGACTTCATTGGAGGTATTCTGGATTTCACACCAATGCAGCCTGACTGCTGTATGTGAATCAGACTCTTGATGATGGCATGAAGGGACTCCCCTGCTCATGCATCAGGTATCACTTAAAGCCCAACATGCATATGCAGGGATGAATTCTATGTCAGACATGTTGATTATCAGTACAGTGTAATTCCAGCTGTCTGAATGCCCTGTATCTGGAAATCCAACTAGCATAGGACTACATGGTGGACACAAATCGACAGTGTGTCCACCATGTAGTCCTATGCTAGTTGAAATAACATCCGTTTATCTGAACACCCAATTATCTGAAAGTTTGGGATGTTCCCTATGCCATTGGGATAAACAGGAGTATATTGTAATAACGAATATCTGTAGTTTCAGCTACTTGAAAGTCTTGGGTTTGGGGGTGGGGACAGTTTCTAACACATTTTAAAATGTACTTTAGAATTTTTTTCCCATCCAGTGTGAAAAAGATGACACATCTTTAAAACATGACCAAATGTATTCCAGAATATCAAACATTTTTGTGGTTTTCATTTGATGACTTACAGATTCATTCAGTGAAAAGCAGTTAACCTACAGCCAGCGGTGCAGGGGAAATTCACTTTGGCATATTTGTAGGCTTTGTGTAGCATAGCTATGGTGAAGGCTGTTGAATCTGGCAAGTCCCTTAGGAAAAATATTGGCTCCTAGATACAGCAATTAAAATGACATCTAACCCTCTTGGAGAGACAGATATCTTTTATTGTTCTTTCTTTTTACTATGCTAGATTGTCTTTTAGATTACAGTCTTCCAGAAGTTGACCGCAGAGAACTTCGTAATGCACTTATGCCTTTATTTCTTATGATGTGGAGTTTTTTAATGGGACAGTAGTTTACATAGTCTGTTGATATGGCTCAGTTAGTTGTAGCTAACAAAGATTGTCAATTTTCTTTTACTGTGGTCCATGCGGACACACACTACTGCAAAGAATATATTTTTTTGTAACTCTTCAGTGCCAGAAATGGCAACTGAACTTAGTCAGAAATGATGTTGTACATTAGTTGGTTAGAAATTGGAAGGAACGTTTCTCTTAAAGTGAGGGATGTTAAAAAGAATTCAAACCAATGAATTCACATATGTTATATTTACGATCAACTTTAGGTAAATGTGCAAACATTTTAATTACAGATGTGGTTTGATCTGTGAAATTCAAGCCTGGGTTCAGATTCAGATTTAAACTAGTGATGACCTGGAGAGGATCTCAAGTGTCTGTGGGAGACCCTTATTAAATTTTCACTATAAAACTGAAAGGAACCTTAGGGTGTTTTTCCTACTTTTGATGGAGTTTAAGTAGCACATTTCCAAAGTTAGTTGGCATTCATATCCATTGTTCTGGTTTAGACCCATCTCTTATAATCCATGTTTGTAAACAGGTAGTACAGTGTAACTCTTAACTGCTATGCAGATAGGCTTTGGGTGTAGGTGAAAAATATGTGCACACTTTACATATATTTTAGTTCAAGTAAAACATATCTATAGCATGGTTAAATTTAATATAAAATTGTTTGGTAAAAGCTGCTATGACAGTTTAATCGTGTGTCCGATACTAAATCAGAATGAATTTAGGGTCTTGTCATAATGCCTGAAATTTCTTGTTATGGGAGGTTTCATCACCATCCAGGTCTTTATGCCCAGTTATCTGGACATAACACATTGTGGGCATGCTGGATTACACTCTTATTCTTGTTTTGCACAAGTTCTTAATTTGATTAACACACAAAATTGGGAAAATTAACAAAAAGCTCATAGTACATGTAGTTTTAGATCATGAAACTCAGGGCCGGCTCCAGGCACCAGCTTAACAAGCAGGTGCTTGGGGCGGCCAAGGGAGAGGGGCGGCACCTGCGGCAATTCGGGGGCGGCAGGTCCCTCACTCCCTCTAGGAGCGAAGGACCTGCCGCTGAACTGCCGCCGCCGATCGCGGCTTTTTTTTTTCCCAATTCCAGCCGCCGATCGCGATCGCGGCTTTTTTTTTATTTTTTGCTTGGGGCAGCAGAAATGCTGGAGCCGGCCCTGATGAAACTAACTGAATTTTTAAAAAATTATAGCAGTTTGTAAAGTCTTAATTCTAATTATATACAGTAATATGTAATGTTTGGAAGGTTTTAGATAAGCTAAGCTAATGTCCTGGAGACAACTCCACATGGAAAATAGTTAGCATGAAAAAAATCTAATTCTCAGGAGATTGGTCAGTCACTTGTTGACTCAAGACATTTAAAAGTTTCTGTTTTTTTCAACTTTATGCCAAACTTTTTAAAGTAATCACCAAATACTGATATGTTATTTGTAGAGTATGTGATGTGATAAACAGAAATTCTGAGCATAAATAGATATACTTCAAGAATTGTCTGCTCCTGTTCTTAGCACTCCTAAATGGTAACATTTAATAGGCAGAGGTATGTAGGACCTGTGAAACCTTTCTGTTGCCCTGGGTCATGAATAAAATTATTGACCTCTGGCCAGAATTGGCCAAATTCTGTAAATAGGCAAAACTTCAGATATAAATAAGGCAGCAGTGGACACATTATCCTGTGATCAGAGAGCCTTCCGGTTGGTTACAGAAAAATTCAAGAGAAAATCAAGTTGAAATAAAAAAGAAATGTGTTTCTGATAGCTCATCTGTGTCCCTTTTCTTTCTATCACTTGTTTCCTGGATGTTGTGTCCCCTTTACTGTTGTCCCAGGGCTTGACCCAACTGGTCCATAGGTAAATATAGTCACGGAGTGGAACCAAGCTGTAAAGCACTGAATATTTTGGAGGCGGGTCATCCTTTATTTTATCCATGCATAATCTGGTACTTAACCATGTACAGTCCCAACAGGACAAATCAATATGTTTACAGTGTGTTTTACATATCTTTCTTCTTCCCCCTTTAATTATCCCTGATTTCCTTAACAGACTTCATTCTCCTTTCTCAGTAGCCTTGTTTCCTTTGCTCATGTCTTTCATTTCTTTTGGCCAGTCTTCTTTCCACTACTTTTCATTTATCCTTTTCTCTTTTTTCCAGTTTTCTTTTCTTGGTGGATTTGGTATGTTTGCTTTATTTTTTGTTCCCCCCTCTGCCAGTTCTTTCTTCTCCCTTCTGGGTCATCATGTAACGACACTCCTGGCTGACTCATCTGTGGGACTTGAACCCCAGATATCTGGATCTAAAACAATCTACTGTCTCAATTATCAGATCAAGTCTATTAGTTACACGTCAGTATCAGACTCATAAACCTCTTGTGTGGTCCCAGCTCTTAACGCAAGAGAAGTTACATTCACTTCTTTCAGTTCTGTTCTTCGTTAGCTTCTTTCTTTCTGTCTTAGAGCATTTTTTATTCAAGCCTTTAAAACTCATGTAAATTGCTCATGGTAGTTCTATGGTTTAAATTATACTATTCTTTTACTTCTTGATTTTACTTGTGTATTCATTTTGCCAAATTTTCAACTTGTTTTAAAGCAGCCATTAGGTGCTATACTTTCCTGAAATTAGCACTTTCCCCCTTTAGAAACTAGGTTCTTTGAAAGGGAACGAAAATAATATAAAAACACATAAAAAGGTAAACACTATTAAAGGTCAAGTACATTCACATGTTTTTAGTTACATTGCTATTTTTATACCCTTTTTTGTTAGGTTCATATTGTTGTAACCTCAACAAGTGTTAAGATTTACATTGATTGCAGTGAAGTAATGGAGAAACCAATTAAGGAGTCTGGAAACATCACAACTGATGGCTTTGAAATACTTGGAAAACTATTGAAAGGTGATCGGAAATCAGCAACGGTAAGCAATAAACTTGTATTTATTTCTTAACTCAAAACATCTTCACGATTTCTAGATAAACTTTGATTTTCTGAATAAAAGGACTTGAATGGACCAGTAAAAGACCAGTCGTAGCACCAAAGCTTGTACAAATCTTGTGATTTTTTTGTACTGCAAGAACTAAGTTACATGATTCAGAAATTTGATAATTGAGGACTCTGTTATAGCAGACAAAGTTCTGACAAGATCCAGTGGATGGAAGTTGAAACTAGATAAATTCAGACTAGAAATAAAATGCAAATTTTTAACAGTGAGGGTACTTAACCATTGGAACAACTTATCACTGGCAGTTTTAAAATCAGGATTGGTTGGTTTTTTCCCCTAAAATATATGCTCTAGTTCAAAGATGAATTAATTCTGGGAAGTCCTGTGGCTGCTGTTATACAGGAGGTCAGACTAGATAATCACAGTAGTCCCTTCTGGCTTTATAATCTATGCTGAACAACTGCTGCTGCTATGAAAGTTATGTCAATTGTCCTAATACAACGGGCTCACTCTATATTTAGTGGATGATCAATACTACTATTTGGGCTTCATAAGGGCCTTAATTCATCAGTCTAATCTTCATCTGCAGACCCTAATGGGTTTCTGGTGGGCACCTGAGTCTGCTTGTGGGGATTAGATTGCAGGATGAGGGCTCATGGGTGAAAGAGAAGAAACTGCTGTCATCCTGCAGCTCTATCTAATGGCCATCTTCTTCCTTTAGTCTTCCTTCCAAACTGTTCCCCACTGATGTCAGTTTCACACATGGATCTGGGTTAATGTACAACCCAGTGATTGCAGTCCGTAAAGTTAGTCCAGATGTTCTCAGGCCAGATTCCATGTTGACATGTACAGGCATTTAGCAGATGTAGAAATTGCATTCTTCATTAAGTGTTGTGAAATATTTGTGTATTCAGTTACCTTTTGCGCCAGAACAGGAGCAGGAGGTCAACAGAAGCATCAGTCCTTGGGGTAGTTCCTGGTATTAACGAAATGTGTTGTTGTTTTCAGCATTTTTTTTCTTTTATTCTTATCAAAAATAGCAGTGTAAAATTGAAGTATATTAACTATGTACAAAATGGAGCATCCTGTAGATGTTTCATTCTTAAATATATTCATATTAGGCTCTGCTTCTCTCTTGAAACATTTATAATTAATTCATCAAGGAATAAAAGAAATTTCCTTTGTTTTACAGTTTGATATCCAGAGTTTTGACATAGTATGTAATGCAGTTTGGACTAGCCGTGATAGATGCTGTGATCTTCCTTCAATGGTAAGTGTAAGTGAACCAGATCCTGTTCAGGACATAGTGTTCATAAAAGACTTGGCAACTTTAATATTAACCAGCTACTATGCCTCATACCTATGAGCCTATGTCAATCACAGTTGTCAAAGCTGGCAATGCACAGCTCTGTATTTAGAATAAGTTCAGATTCAGCTCAAGAATGATGGCACAAGTATCAGACAGAGTCAGAAATATATTCTAAATTGCAATAATATTTAACTTCCTTGCTATTATGTATGTCATGTCCACATTCATTTTTATTAAATTAGTTGTATGACTGAACTTGAAAAAACATCCCATTTATTTTTGTCTGTGTTAGCTGATTGTCCAATGCAATACTTTCTGTCTTGGTGAGGGAATAGAAGAGAATTTTGAATTAGAACATATGGAACACAATAAAGATTGTGCATCAATGTTTGTTCCTGTCCCTCCACTGTTGTAAATATTCCATTGCCTTAAGAAGATCCTAGAGGAAATAAACTAATAACAAATCTGAAAAACACAGTAGGAAATCTTGGAAATTACTATTTTTCTGTTGAACTCTGTTATACTTCAAAATAGAGTTTCTTCTTAGGTTATGGAGATTATTTTTGTTATTGCTGTGGGGGGAAAAAAACACCACCGGCTAATACCTTCCTTTAAAGAGAGTGTGTGATGATTGTGCTTGAATTTTCAGAGGGATGAAGCAAAATGCCCAGCTCTTCCAAATGCTTGTACGTGTACACAAGACAGCGTGGGACCCCCAGGACCTCCTGGACCTGCTGTAAGGAGCTATTAGTACAGAGCAATTGTCTGGTTTTCTAAACTTAGCGGGGGTGTTTCTCAAAATAAGGAAAGACAGTAATGGCAGAAATCAAAGAAGCATTTCCATAATGCTCTGTTAATGCACCTCAATCTGGACCTCACAGAACCTTGCATTTGATCTCCTGGTGTTCCTTTACTACATGGAAATGTCAGCTGTGCTCATGAGTGCCATACTATGTGGTGGTTTTTGTCAAATGTACAAACATCAACAAGGAAGAAAGTCGGGATCACCAGATCCATGTCACCATTTAAATCAGCCTGTTCTCCTTTTTTCTGAGTTTAAAACACAAGTCAGATTCTACAACTGTTATCTGTTCTGAGTAGTATGCTACTTCTCAAGTAGTCCCACTGAAGTCGATATGTTTACCTGTGGAGTAAGACACTACTCAACGAGGAGTGGTAAGGGAGAGAACCTGGTCCAACAAAAGGCAAATCTTCACTTTGCACTTACAAGTATCTATAGAGAATATATGGTGGCTCAGTTAGAGAGAGAGAAAATTTACCTTTGTGAGTTGGAGGGGAATGTCATAACACAGGAGCAATACAGTTGTCTTCAAGGCCTGGGCACTCACTTATTAGGTCATCTCTTAGCCATGTATTATGCGCAATAGGAGGTGAAGTAGATTCTTAGGCCCAGATTTGTAAAGGTATTTAGGCTTGGCTGTGTTCAGTGTTGCAGTGCCTAACAGATTTAGAAGCATGAGTCTCATTTTCAAAAGGGATTCAGGCATTTAAGAGCCAAAATCATATTGACAATCAATGGCATTTTGGCTCCTAAGTGCCTGAATCCCTTTTGAAAATGAGGCTTAGGCTCCTAATTCACTGCAATGCTGAGCACAGCAACACATAAAAACCTTTAAAAATCTGGGCATTAGTGCCATTTAATTTTACTCTGCATTGGCCTTTTCCTCACCGGCGGTGATGTAGAGGAGCTTTGTACCTGCTCTGCAGTGAGGATCCTTGGAGCCTCCCTTCAGGATGGGCCAATGCAAATGAGTAGCTGATGCAAGTGAGTTCACCACACTTCTTTCCCAAACAGCCTTCTTCCGATCCCTGAGTCATTCTCTCTGCAATGGGCCTGCAGAGATTACTGCAACCCTGTGGCCACACTTAGTCCCTCAGAACTTCTGAAGGAAGAGGGGAAATGCTGCCCCCCTTAAAATCAATGGGAGTTTTGCCACTGATTTAAATGGAGTCAGGATTTTATCCAAAGAGAGGGATTCTTTACTTTGTTGAGGAAAGAAGTTGGTTACCTCTTTGTGGATGGGGAGATCAATGAAAGGGCTGTGTGTGAAGGATTAATTTCAGGCCCATGGCCCTTTCTTCTCTCATTTTGAAGTTATCAGCCTAGAATGCTGTATTAGGAATTCTAAGATCCTCCCAGATGCTCATCAGTCAGCTAGAGAGAACCCATCCAATTGACTTCAAGGAGTTCAGTGCTCCCAGACTCCATCCCAGGGCTCAAGGGTGGCCTATTATAAGCATTACATGGCTGCGTTTAAGGAGAGGACTTGTAGCCTTTGTGTCTGCAGAGCTGGGATGGGCAGTACAGCTCCAGTCAGTTATGTCATTACTCTCAAAGAAGAATATAAGCAAAAGTTCACTATAACTAGAGGTACAGTTTGCACTGTGTAGTGCATTAAACAATACAGTCCCCCCTTCTCTATAAAATGGAGTTCTGCTATGTCTGAAATCACTCTGAGTAAGGTCCACTATGCAGTACGGTTGATTTCTTAACTAGTAAAAGCATGAGGTTGGATTATCACATTTACAAGTCAATGTGGGATTTGATCCAGGACTGTGGTAAATTCACATTGTGACTTTATTGAGCTCTAAATTCGATTATTGGAATTGTACCTGCTTTGTGTGAGTCAGCGACTGAGATAGGAGCTCCCTTCTTTATTTTTTTATTTACATTTTCTCCAAATAACTACGGTGGTGGTGTTATTTGAATTTCATTAAGAAACATGGATACCTGTCATAAGAACAGCCATATTGGGTCAGACCAAAGGTCCATCTAGCCCAGTATCCTATTTTCCGACAGTGGCCAATGCCAGGTGCCCCAGAGGGAATGAACAGAGCAGGTAATCATCAAGTGATCCATCTCCTATCACCCTATCCCAGCTTCTGGCAAACAGAGGCTAGGGACACCATCTCTACCCATCCTGGCTAATAGCCATTGATGGATTTATCCTCCATGAACTTATCTAGTTCTTTTTTGAATCCTGTCTCTCTGGCCTTAGAGAAATTTTGGCCCTTTCAAATAATCTTTCAGTGATCTTTGAGATTAGTTTTGAAAGTAAACCGTAGTCTCTCAAAAGGACCAAAGGTTGAAATAAGCTTCTTTTAAGATGCACTGTGCTCCACTGAGCAGAGCTGGCAGGAGCTGATTCCATAGTCACAGAGTTCAACCTGGTATCCTGAGTGGGATCCAAACCTCATGGCTGCCATGGAGTGATTGCTCCCCCTGACTCCGTGATTGCCCACTGAGTCTTCAGGGATGACGCCAGAGAGGCCCTGTGCATGCTCAGAACATTGAGCATTGCGTTGCAGAGAGCCTTGAAGGGACTGTATGGTCAAAACAGTAATCCCAGGTAACAAACAGCTTCAAATGGAGCTGTCAGTTGGGACAGGAGAATGGGCCATTCCACCTCTTTGAGGGCAATGAGGAAGGGCAACACAGAAACCCTCTCCTACACCCAACCTTCTTTGTCTCACGTTAGTTCTCCTCATTCCTTCAGAAGCTGGTCCTCAGGGGTTACTGCAGTTCCCGGTCTGTAGTATTTCTATGATCCCCACATGGAGACAGATGGGGCTCATAGTCCACAAAGTGCTGCTTGGAGAGCATAAATTCCCTGTTTCCTGAGCATCAACATGGGTCCTCTAGATCAGTGAGGCTGTTGCTGATTTGGGGCCTGATGCAGCTCTTGCTCCTGCATTAGTGCTTCTTTGAACACCAAGCATGTCAAGGTCTGTTCATATCAGAACTTTGTTCTTGCTTGAAACCTTGACTCAACTGGTCAGTTTTATCATGGGGATGGATAATTTGCACCTGTACAAGTTATCTTCTCCTTCCCCTACTGTGTATATTTATTTTCTTTTCAAATGTCTATTTTAGGGTGGTCCAGGCACTAAGGGGCCTAGAGGTGAAAGGGGTTTGACTGGACCTGCCGTAAGTATCTCTCGGAATGAATTTCTAAGTTTATATGCACACCACATGAAATTTTGGATGTTAAACTTCACAGTAAGCTAATATCTCCAAGTATCCAAGTTTAAGGGTTTTGTAAGTAGGGCTAAGTCTGGATGTTATTTATATAGAAGAATGTTGGGAAGCAGGATGTGTATCTGGTCTGTGTTTCCTAGGATCCTGTTGTCCTCTGCTTTTTGCATAGGGGAGCCAGATCATGGGTATCAGTGGTAGGAGCCATGGAAAGTTGGGAATGCCAACTCTGCCTCATGGTTCCCCTTCTCTGGGGAGGCACTAGGGGGTCAGAGGAGGCAGGGAGTCACTCTCTGGGGCACTCTCCTCTCCAGAAGTCGTGGATATGTATATCTCTATTCATGCTGCCAAATGCGTATAGTTTCTTGGCTTGATCCTGTGGTCCTTACTAGGGTAGCAGCATCAACCCTTCTGTGGATAATGGTGGAAGCACGGCTTGAATAAGGACTTGCAAGTTCAAATGTTATTCAAGTATCAACTAACCCCATGCTGCTGGCCTGTCCCACGTGCATGTCCATACAAATCCTCTAGATGCAACTCTAGGAAGAAACCATGGTCTAATATCTTTTTAATTTTGTGTTTTAAGGGGCCACCTGGTCTTCCTGGTGAGGCAGGTCCACCGGGTCCTCAGGGTCCATCAGGTCCACAAGGGATCAATGGACTTTCAATTCCAGGAGAACCAGTGAGTAACCATTCTGTATCTGTGAGTGAAACTGTGTGGAGACAGAGAACTGACCATCAAGTTTTGTCATTTCTTCTTGCCCTGCAGCTCAGAAGCTGGTTGCCTTTAAAATGTCACATTGTTTTACCCTGAGTGTTACATGTACTACAGTCTTGGGGATTATATATGAAGTGGCGTGTGGTGTGTTGCACTGGTTTGTTTTATTGCTTTTCTATACACTGTCTAGATCTTCAGTCTCTAAGACTCAAATTTTCAAAGTTGGATGTTGAGAAGTTAAGCACCTGAAGTCACAGCTAAGCTTTTTCACAGATTTATGCACATCTGCAGTGATTTATATATCTAGCTTCTTTCTTTAGGTAACTAAATCAGCAGTTAGAAGTGTAAAGCAGGTAATGGGTGCCTAAATTTAGGCATCCAAGTTTTAAAGCTTGGCCTTATGTTCTTTTGGTGCTTTGTTGGCGCTGTTCCTTTCTTGTATATAGCTATGCATGCTGACAGCACTATGTAAATTAGTAAGTGTCAACTTCTGATTTAATTTACATTAATGAACATCTAAAGTAACTCCATTAACATCAGTCAACTTTCCCTAGATTCACACTGGTCAGAGAGCAGAATATAGCCCTAAGAGACCACACAGCATCCTGACACTACTACTGCCAACTCTTGGTCACTTCAGTATGTAGCCAGAGAAGATCTTATTCTGTCTTAACTTGCTGTTTCCTATGAGAGTATATTAGGGATATCTGGAATGTTGTAACAATCTTTATGGCTAAGTGTTATTCCTGATTAGGAATAATTAGCAAAGTTGGCTTCTAACTGGAAAACACACTTTACATTCAATAGGCAATTCATCTTCTCTGTCTGATAGATTTATAAGTGGCCTAATTCAAAACAGAAAACCAAAAAGACACGATGGTAGAAATTAGATTCACATTACCTTTAGGAAAGGACCAAATGGAAGGTCAATATATGGTTTCCATGTATGCTTGAAGGAAAAACTTCATCAGGATGGCCTATGGATGCCAAACAGCATGGAAGGCTAAATGCATTCCTTGTGTTTGTGGAATGTGATAAATATTTTTATTTTGTCCCAGGCAATTTGAAAGATTTTGAAGTATGAAAACACCAAAGAAACATATTGCTTGGAACTTGTCATTGATGAAATTATTTTCAGTAACGAAACATTATAATGTCACCCTGAGGGCTTGTCTTCACTTCCAGAGTAAGTCGACCTAAGCTACACTACTCCAGCTATGTGAATAACGTAGCTGGAGTCCACGTAGCATAGGTCGACTTACCCCTGTGTCTTCACTGTGCTGCGCCGATGGGAGATGCTCTCCAGTTGACATCCCTTACTCTTCTCAGAGAGGTGGAGTACCGGAGTCGACCAGAGAACACTCTGCTGTCGATTTAGCGGGTCTTCACTAGACCCGCTAAATCAACCCCTGCTGTATCGATTGAAGCAGCATCAATCTTCCCCGTGAAGACCAGCCCTGAGTCATGTAATTGTATTCCTAATACCAATTTGTGATGATTATAGGGTCGCCAAGGAATGAAAGGTGATGCTGGAGAACCAGGGCTACCAGGCCGATCAGTAAGTTAATTTTTTATGTCATTGGCCTCTACAGCGATGCGTGGACACTTTTCGTACAACTCTCAGTGTTGTGAATAGAACTTTTTTGCTCCCTGTATATTGCATAGGATATGTGCTGGGTAACATTAGCAATCTGAATTATAGGGAATATGAAACCATTTAAAATGTGAATAAGATAAAATAAATAAATAGAGAAATCAATGTTAAATTCAGCTTGTTTGCAGTTGTACATATATGTAAGGGCAATGATTCCATGTTGAATATGGGATTAAGTTTAGAAGAGGAGAACAACTAAGAATGCATAGAATAATCAAACATCAAGAACACGTCTATTGTCTTTTTCAGGGATTTGTTTTCAGGGGGAGTTTTGGGACTATGACTTGTTTTGACAGCTGTGGACCATATGTATACTGTTGATATATGAGCCTCAATCTGCCCATGCGTTTACATAAATAGGAACCCTTTGTGTAAATTGAGGATAGTATACAGCCTATACTATTTGTATTATCTGAAACACTCACTCAGGCAGTAGAAAATGCCTGGAATGGATTAGAAGACATCTCTAATTCCTGTAATTGTGGGCCTGACCCTGCAAGGTGCTGAGGCCCTGGGAGGTCCTCAGTTCCCATTAAGCCCTCTGTAACTACCTTCAGCGTTCCTTCTTGACACAGAAGCTACAATACTAAGAAAGAAAGAAAGAATATAAAATGTGCAGGATGTGGAAGCAGCTCATTATAAAATAAGACAGGCGGAGACTAGTGGGAATGGATAAAGGGGGTAATAAAGAGAAGCTGCAACTCATGCCCTTCACAACCACCGAATTGATAGAAGATTGTCTTATAACCAGAGTTTAGTACCAAGTGTTTAATAACTAGTCAACATCAGTAAGCCATGTGAAGAGGCTTTAAAAAAGGATCTATATTCTGGTTATAGGATTGAAAATGTAAAGAACATTTTTTTAAGGGAAGTAAGAAAAAATGTGATAAATAATAAAGTTCATTGCATTGTTAAAATACAGCTGGTCTCTGCCAAGGGGTTATTGTACTTTTTTATATATGTTGCCAAAAAGCCATGTCAGAATAATCTGGAAGTTAAAACGTGTGTGTATGTATGTATGCATCTATATAAATATATATATATATAGGAGTGTTTAGTACAGCACAAGTACGTGTTCTGTCTTGTGTGAATGTCTCATTATTTTTTTCCCATAGGGAACCCCAGGTTTGTCTGGCCCACCTGGCCCAGTGGGACCACCAGGTGACAGGGTAAGGTCTCTTCAGTCTACAGTGTTATGGCACAAGCCATGTTCCATTCTGTAGCACATGAAACTCCAGCACCGCTTTCTGTTTTTCAGCTTCTTCCTTTTTTAGAAACAAGTCCTCTGCCCAGAGTCCAGCGAGACTCAGGAAAGATGCTTGGTGGGGACCAGGAAGATTGTGGGGAGGAAATCTTCACCCATGGGCCATAAAACAGCCACAGAACTTTTGCAGAGGCTACTCAAATTCACTGACTGGATTGGGCTCTATGACTCCTATGCAGAGAGAATGAGAGATCCACTGAGCAGGGCTCCTCTGACCTGCTAATATCCTAGTCCCCTCCCACATTCTGTCTACTGTTGTTAGGGAGCCCCATGGAATGGCATGTCCACAACATGGGGGATGTGCATGTACAGAATCTACTGTTAAGGCAGGATTTGTCCCTTTATCCTTGACCTCTGATCACTGGGAGTTAACAGCCAGTTAGAGAACTGCTGTGTTAGGCTGTTTAGATGGGACTTCTCAAGACCATTCAGAAGCTGCTTCCTTTATCATTTTAGAAGCTTATTCTCTGCATTGCTTAATCCTCTCCATGAGCAGGGGCTTTGCTTTATCAAAGTGGGGCAATAAGGAGGAATCTTTGACCTAATGGGCCCCTTTCTTCTTTATGATTGAGCTCATCAGTCACTTTGGGCGGAGCCTCCAATTCCACCTTTGGGAAGGAGGCAGCAGATTTCTAATCATTATATGGCTGTGTTTGAGAGACAGACACTCCACCCTCAGTGAGTCAGCAGCCTGAGGCTCTCTTAATTTGGGTAAAACTGTGCCAATGAGATATTTAACTGGCAATAGCAATGGTGCATATTTTGACACATTAAATTATACATACATATTAGCATTAATTATGAATAGCACCATTATACATAGCTTTAAGGGCCACTAGTTTTAAATGAAGATTGCTGCAGCCTTAGGCCTGTCCTTATTAATCTGTAAATATTTTCATTTTTGGAATAGGGTTTCACAGGAAAAGATGGTGCCACAGGACCCAGAGGCCCACCTGGATCAGCGGTAAATATTAGACCTCAGCATAGAATGAACCAAGAGATATAACCCAAAAAGGAGAGAATTCCACTGTGCTGGTTTTGAACTCCATCAAATGAATCCTTTATCATATTTGAAAAAACATATCAAATGAACATTATGATGTTGAAAACTATTGGAAAGGGAAGAAGTTGTTTAAAACTTGCAAACTCTTAATTTAAAAAATGATACACAGAACTACTAGGGCTTGATTCTGTTTTCATAGTGGTGTTACTCAATTGACTTGCATGAACTTTACTTATTCCTTAATTACTGTTGGATTAGAAAACAATATAGAGAAACTGGATCAGGTAATTATAGACCCAATAATTATGAAAAATTATCACATCAGGACAAGTAGAAGAATATTTGAGTAATCATGACTAATTAAAAATGTTGAACTTTATAGCACATATTGGTGGCTGTATTGGACAATGTGCTGGTCTTTCATTTATTCAAATCTATCTAAAAATCACTGAAGTGAATGTTGTGGACTCATGGTCATGACTTCTGCACAAATCACAGAACTACAATAGGGCCAAATCATGTAATCTTTTTTCAGGAAACCCTGAATAAAAACAAAACCTAAGGCACCTGGGTGCTTTTGAAAATACCACTAGGTGCCTATCTGCATCTTTAAGCACCTAAATGCCATTGCAATTCTGGCTCTATGTTAGGGATAAGAATAATTTTCTCTTAAATGTGCTATTCACTTACGTATATTGGGTGCATCTACACTGCAAACAAAAATCCACGGCAATGCGTCTCAGAGCCTGGGTCAACTAAAAATAGCAGTGTAGATATTCCCGCTTGGGCTGGAGCTTGGGCTCAGAAACCCACCCCATGAGCCCGAGTCAGTTGACCCAAGCTCAGAGACTGGCTGCCATAGTTTTTTGTTTGTTTGTTTCGTACAGTGTAGATGTACCCATTGTGGCAGATTTCAGAACCAGTTACACTCAGCCGCTAACGTTGTTTCTTAGCATTCCTTTGTATGTCTTTCTGTTTTAGGGCACTCCAGGAGTTCCAGGAGTAGCAGGTCCAAGTGGAAAACCAGGGAAACCAGGAGATCGTGGGCCACAAGTGAGAGAATGATTTATATTTACGGTATCAGTTGTAACATACTCTGGCTGCAGATAAATATGTGACTTACCCTGGCTTTAAAATATTTGTCTCATGTATGTTCATGAAAGCGGTAAATACATCGAAGCTGAGCTAAGGCCACAAACCTAATTTTTAAACAATTTCATTTTATAGTACATCTTTCTGTTCATTTTAATAGTTGGGGCTGGAAACTGTGGTTACTGGTTTCTACTAAAAAAAGCACGGTCTGTATGTGCCAAGACATATATTTCTACACTGTGTAAACATCAGGAGCTAGGTCAGCAGAATTACTGGAAATTGGTTTTTTTTTATAGTAAAGAGTGGTATAATGCTGAAGGTGGAAAATCTTTGATAATGTTATATGATCGCTGGTGGTTTGCAAATGTTTGTGATTTAACAACGTGATTTAAACATTATTTAAGTACTGTGGGCTCTACTGAGGCTTTGACAGCCACGGCCCCATATTGGAAGGGAGGGAGCAGAAGTTGCGTAGTCCCAGGAAACATTTGAGCTGAATCAGCCAGAACAGGAGCTGTGATGTCTCTGAAAAGGTGCAGGATTCATTCCCTTGTGCCAGCCAGTTTGGAAAGGGGCAGAGTTCTCCATCCTCACAGAGTGTATAGTTCTTAGGCAGTGTGGTCTGGCGGAATGTGCACAGGCACGAAAGGTTAGGTGTTCGTGTATTCTAATCCTAGCTCAGTCTCTGTGAGGCGTTGGGAAGTCACTTCAGCTTTCTTCTTCTGTAAAATGCAATTAATGCTACCTAACCTACCAGCTTGTTGGGGGGTTGTAAAGATTCATTAGTTTGTCTGTCCAATGCTTTGAACAAATAAAGTGCTATTGTTATTTTTAGTTCTGCTATTGGTGCTAGCCACCCCTCCTCCTAACAGGCCAGGAGCACAAAAGCCAACGTTGTGTCTGTCCTTGTACAGGCACTCAAAAGAAAAGAGAGGCTATCTATGCCCTGACCCATGCAGGAATAACCTCAATCTAGCCAAATCTGTATAAATTCAGAAAGTACAAGTACTGTTTAAGTACTTCTAAATGCTAATCATGCCATTTAAAAGTATAATTTGCTTCAAAATTCCCACTTTCTTGTGAAGTGACACTGCACGACATCGCATCTAGTGTTCCAAATGTTTTCAGAACAGATCACAGCAGGAATTCTGGCTTGTGCTTTGTGCAGATGTTTTGTGAGACTCATGGTAGACAGGATTTCGACATTTAAGTTTGTGTTTTGCATTAGAAGTGCAAAAAGTGCAGCCCAAGGGCCAAGTACAGCCTACAAAGTCCTGAAATGTAGTCCAGGCCTGCCCGGTATTTGTAACTGCAGGTCCAGGAGAGAATTGATCACCTGCTGTTGGTGAACTCAAGGAGCAAATAACCTCTGTTCACATAGGACTAGATCTTGTCATTTTTGCTCCTGTTGAGTGGTATGTGGTGTAAGGTAACACTCAGTGTAAGTAAGAGTGGCGGGACCTGGCCCTTACCAGAGAAGATGCAAATATAATCAAATATTATGACCCTATGCCAAAAGTACACAAAGTTAAAGGCAAATTATATGCAGTCCTCGGGCCCCTGGCAAATTGCCAGTGAGTGTTGACATCAGGATTATGCATTTGGCCACCTCAATTTTAGCCAATAAATGTATTGCAGCTCTTACAAACATTGCAAATTCAAGTAGATCACAGAAGTTCCTTAACAGATTAGCATGGCTGTAAAAGGTTTTGTACCTCAATGCACATTAGTACTAAATCAAGCTGTTCTCTGAAGCATTAATTGAATTTTCATAGAGTTGCAAAGTTTCACCTTGATAATTTGCTAACAAGTACTCCCAAAAGAAAAGAAAGTGGGATTTTAGATCAGTAATAGACAAAAGGGTTGAATGAGAAGAAAAGAATCAGAGCACTATGGCATCTGTTAACTGTTAAGAATAAAGAAGTCATTTATGTTTTCTATATAGAACTGCAATGGAGAGATCCTTCCAGGGACCTAGCATGCTGTGGCTAGCCCTGTGACCCTCTTTAAAGGGGGTTGCACAGTATGTGTAATGAAACTCTGTTCAGGAGTAAATGCAGCCTCAGATTTTATTCACTTCTGTGCATGGTCCCGTGGAGACAGCACATGAGTAGGGGAAGATCTTCTGGGGAGAGCAATCAGGCCTGTTGTCTTTTAAAGTATATTTCTTGGCTTATCCTTTCTCAGCTGCGGAGTCTTCCCACAATTCCAGCCTTCACCCCACTGCTCAAAAAAATCCCAGATAAAGCAAAAGCTAACATTGCCTCTCAGTCACCCCAAGCATCCTCATCACAGGATGTCAACAAACTAGAATGGTGGCAGCAGCCGCTTTCTCTCAACATTCTGGCAAGCAGTTGGCTGAAGTGCACATTTTTCTCTGTTAAAAGAAAATAAAGTGAAATCTAAACAGAATGTCGCTAAGCTGGAAGAGGACACAAATGGACAATGCTTCACTCAGTAATTGAAAAGGCAATTGTGTTGTTGAACGGGTAGTATTCTCAAACATCCCAATGGAAAATTAGTTTAGTGTTTAGGCAGGTCTGTTTTTAGTATTCAGCTGTATTAATGACAACCCTTTGCATCATTTACAAATCAAAATCAGAGTATTTCCTTTGCAAGGTTGCAGATGTGAGACTCAGGCTCATTCAGCTTCAGTTAAGTTTTGAAAGTAGACTAATGCACCTTCTCATTAATGAGAAAGGAGAGAAAGGATCCATTTGCACTGGCGAGATTAATGCTTTTGATGTTTCTCAGCTATAGAAATTTTGCTGGCAATAAATATCTTTGAGGAATATCTTGCCTTTTGTATTGGAGCAACACTCTCCAACAAAGTCAATGGAAAGGTTATTGCTTAGAAACCAGTGATACTATATGCCCCTTTTAAAAGGCTTTTCAACCAGCTAACATGGCTTTTGGCTGATGTGAGCCTTGAGAAGTTTCTTTTTGTTTGGTCGGCACTGCACTGCAAAAATATTTCCGCAAATGGCATGCAGCATGTGAGCATTTGACGTTTGCTTCAGTTGGTTGCCCTCTTTTTTGTTTTCATGTTTTGTAAACACTCCAGCAAATGAGCTCTATGGAACAATTAATTTTAAGCAAACATTAGAGGATATGGTCAGAAAGTGGCTAGGATAATTGACTAAAATGAATTTTTAATTCATATGTACAGCCATTTAATCAGTGAACTAAGACATACTATGTGACAATGTTTCCAATCAAAGCAGCTTAAGAATGTTACAGATGAAGAAATATTTACAAAAATTTATTCAGCAAATAGGTACCGGTATAAATAAATTCATTTCCAGAAAATAGCAACATGCTGACAATTCGCAAACAGAAAGAGAAACTAAATTCATTGAATAAAATTATTTGTGATGAATTCTGGGTGGGATCTAGGTTAGGTGTTGCAATGGTGAGTGTCACGGAGCCTAACTTGTAGGCACCTAAGGCCTTGGCTACACTTGCAAGTTACAGCGCTGTAAAGCCTCCCCCAGTGCTGGAATTCACTCCCCGTCCACACTGGCAGGGCACTTGCAGCGCTGTATCTCCCTGGGTACACCGCTGCAGTTACTCCACCTCCCCGAGAAACATAAGAGTTAGGGAATGAGTTAGGCCCCTGCTTTGCTGCACACAAAACAGCCACTGGAGGAGAAGGAGGAGATGCCTACCTTATAACTTTTAACCCAGTGCTTAACATACTGACCTGGGAGAGACTGGTTTAATTCCCCCTCTCTCCCGAGTAGGAGAGGGGATTTGAACAGGGATCTCTCACCTCTCAGTAGAGTGCTTCAGCCACTGAACTGTGGAGCACTGTGATGTGGGGCTCCCTCAGTCTCTCCCACTGAAGCTGTTCCACTATGGATAAATAACGAAAAAGTGACTGGAGCAGGGGGACTGGACCATACGCACATGGGTACCTTAGGGTCTAGGCACTGGGCTACAGAGTCATTCCCACTCTCTGAGCCTAAGTTGCTTTGTGGATTGCACCCTATTTACCTAGCTATTCATATTATATATACTGGAGTAGGTAAAGCCATAATATTTCCCTATGTGATTCATGAGAGAAATGTGAGAGTTGTTTTTGTATCTAGCAGGCCTTTAACATTGTCTGCACAACCGGGAGTCAAACTATTCTTGCTTCAAAGCTGTTATGTCAACGTTTGCTTTGAATTTTGAGTATTGATGTGACACTGTTTTCTTAGGTAAACTTTAATCTCTGAACCCATGATCATATGCGTTGTGTGCTTATTATTAAGCAATTATTAGTTTGCAAATTATAGGCATGACATGCTCCAGCGGCTATGAATCATGTCCACACATACCATTTCAAAGTAGCCATTCCAACTCCTTAATTTGAGGCCTTATGATCTCAAAAGAAGTTTATGAAACACTGCTATTGCATTCAAATTATATCCAGCTCTATTGTGACCTCACTGGAATGATTTGTTGTACTGTGTTATTGAAGTTATTTGTGGGTACAACAAGAATGTTACGAAAAAAATCAGCTACTGCCCACATTCAGCATTTGCTTTTATAATAGTGATAAATGGGCTGCTTAAAAATATTAAATTGTCAAAGGCACCAGGGCTAAGGATGTAACTAATTATGATGGTAGCTAGGTGAAGCAGCAGACTATTGAACGAGTCATCTTTGGGAATTTGCAGAAGGTCTATGTTCAGAACTACTTTGCAGTTTGGGCATGTTTTGGCAAAATTTGCTGCTCATGAGACAGTAGGAGTGAGAATTTCAAAAGCACTCAGCGCTGGCCCTAATTCTGTTCCCACTGAAGTCACCAATGAAATGTCTATTGACTTCCGTGGGAGCAAAGTGCTCTTGAAAAATTCTAAAATCTAGTGGGGGTTGTTACAGTTAGGATTAAAGTGCATTGCTAGAGCTGTACATAAAAGCATCTCTTGCACTAAAATTGGGTCAAGCAAGCTTTTTCTTTTTGATCTCTGGGGATACATTTAAAAAAGGCTTTAAATGGCAACAGATTTTTAGATTTCTCAGAGAGCAAACTAATAGTTAAAATGATCATGTGTCTGATTTTTGGCCTATTTGAAATGGGCATCTGCATTTAGCTTGTGGCCATAATTATGTCAAATGGACCAAAACCAGCTATAAACATCTTTGTGAGGTCATTGTTATCTAGTGTGAAAATCTGCAAAATCCAACATACCAAGCATCATAATTACATTTTCCCAGGAAACTATGTCATGGTCTTTCTTGGCCCTTCTATTTGCTAACAGTGGAATGCAAACAAAAGGCTAAAGTCTCAAAACATTACATGGGAGATGCACACACAAAATTTAATTTTCAGAATGAATTATGTGTGTATATTTTCTGAATTGTGTTCTTTAAAAATGGCCCCCGAGTGTATTTTATGCAATCGTGACAATTCAAACATTTGTTTTTACAAGTGGATAATCAATCATTCTTGTTGGCTTCTTGTAAAAACAACACCAACACCAAAAACAAACTGCCATGGAATGCAAATGCAAATGGGAAAATGCTGTCAGAGAAAGAAATATAGCTCTTGACAAATGAAAATAATTATGGTGACAGCTCAAGCTCACACTACAACAGGTATTGTAGTATATTGTAAGATGAGAAGCATTCAGCAACTAGTAAGGGAGATGTCATTGGAAACAGAATAGGTACTCGAAGCCATCTTTCCCAATCTTCTATAACTCCTGCCCATAATCCTGCATCCCTCAATGCAGGATTACAGCCTCTGTTTCTTACTGCTGGGTTTGGAGGAGATAGCTACCCTTCCTGGATGTGCAGTCTTTGGTCTTAGTTTAGTTTGTTAAGGAATGAGGCAGGACATTGTTTCAGACTGAAATTACTATTTACAATGAAAGAGTAACATAATATATGCAACAAGACTGAACCAGATCATATGGCCCTGTTTTCAGAGGTGCCTTGCTAGGAACACAGCCTTTAACTTTACAGTGTGCCCTCTGTGTCATAGTCCCTCAGTCTCTCTGGGTTTAGTTTGACTTTCTCCTTCGGACCTCTTCTTTCAGAATCTGTCAGAGTCTGTTCAGTCACATGCCCAAATGGTTGCTTTGCCCATTCTCTTCTGGAACCTGCCACAAAGTTCAAAGAGAATCCAGTTGCAGGATTGTGCTGAAAGGGTAAAAACTCTTTCAAGAATAACACTTCCAGGACCTAAATGTTGGGCGAAATATCTTAATCCTGCAGCTGTTCCCCAGACAGAACTCCTACTGGAGTAAACAGGGCTTTTCTGTGAAAGGACTGCTATATCAGGTCCCATACAGGACAAAGACCCAGAATGAGGCACATGATAAAAACAATAGTGAAGTTAACTCTGAATCATGTGACATTTTTTTCTTCAGCATAGCTAAGATTTTCTACAACCTCAGTTTCATGATGTTGCTTTTCTACTGTAAATTATTTATAATAAAAGTGAAGTAGTAGCAGGTTTGTTTAGGACAGAGACAAATTGAAGAGTAAAGTAAGAATTTGCTTATAGTCAGTAACATTTGAAGAAAAGAATGTTACTCTTTTATGTTTAAGAAAGCATCTAGGGAAGGTATGGAAAAAACAGGCCTTCAATTTTGGGGAAAGTACTGCAGTCACTTATCAGAATCAGAATAGATCAATATTTCTGATTTAAGGAGCGATAATCAGCATGGCTATCAACAGCAAATACAGTGTGTGAAAGATGTGATAGAATTTGTGAGGAAATAATATACTGTTTCGACAGACAGGGACATAATTTACCTGGAGTACAAGAAAGCTTTCAACAGGGTAGCTTTTTTACAAGAAAAAAGTGGCCTCTATTTTTTTGGGCACAGTTTTGCATCTGCTAATAACTGGATACAAATATTTCCATTGAAACGTCTGACCTATCTGATTTGCTGATGAAAAATTGCAGGCGCTGCATGGTTGCAGGTGCATGTAAGGACCCAGCTGGATGGGTTTACTGAACAGTTGCTCTATCGAATCCATCTAAAGCACTTGTCAGTGTAGTATATATGCACCAGACTGCACTTACAAAGCATGTTTTCTTTTTCTCTCTTCATCCTTCCATTTTCTTTCATCCCTTTATGTTTCCGTGTTCCTATACAATAAACTGCAGTATATGCAGCTGCATTAAATAATAATGGAAATTAACTTGTTTTAGGGTCCACCTGGAATGAAAGGAGAAAAAGGTGACAGAGTAAGTACTACCTTAAAATTAGTTTATTTATCACTTACTTTAATGTAATAAATACTGGATTTTTAAAAGCACAGACAATGCACTAATATAATACTTGTTTTAATTATTAAGGGAGATATTGCTTCTCAGAACATGATGCGAGCTGTTGCAAGACAAGTCTGTGAACAATTGATAAATGGTAAACAATGTTGTGCTTTTTCCTAGTTCTGTTTTCCATATGGCTAATTTAATAGCTCATTTGTGAAAAGTCAAAATGATTTAAATTTGAGATGAAAGGATCCTGGCTGCAAAGCATAACAGGAGCCAGTGTGTTGGCATTGCTATCTTCTGTACCACCGATCTGATGGAAGGAAAATGCACCACAAAATTGGTTCCTGAATCTGAAGGGCTAACTTGTTAATGAACTAATCGGTCACCTCTGGAGACCCATATTCAGATCTTGCACATGCCACGAAGGGAATGATGTTGTGCAGTCAGCTAAGTCCCTGTTTTAGCACTGTGGATGTCAAAACCCCCACACATTTTGGCATAAACCAGGTCTCACCTCTGAGAGATGGAAGGCACAAGGCTGGAATGGAAGGAGCATTACAGGTATTAGGATTGAAGTATATTGGCACATGCTGCCTGGGCAAGCGATGCACACAGGACAAATTGTGTTATGCAAGGGAAGAAATAATTGCACTGGGTAAGTCCCAAAATTCAGGGCCCCGAAACAATATTTTAATGGTTTTTGTTTTTACTTCAGCCCCAAAGCTGACGTAGCATCCTGTAGCCCTAATGTGCCCCTACCTCCAGGCAGGAGTGACCACTGGAGGATTCATGCAGTGGAGGATCCTCTAAGCTCCCTATGCCACCCTACAGGGAGCAACCCCAGAGTGCAGCTCTGTGCTCCACAGGAAGTGTAACCCTCCTGCACAGCTTCCTCAAATCATCTCTACCTCTTCCACATCACAGCTGCACAGAGTTTGCTGTCAGGAAGGCCCCCAAGAAGACAGAGCAAATTTGCTTATTTATGTTATTTATGCAATAGGGCACGTGCTGCTTAGACCCCGATACTGCTGTTTTTGAGGTAACCCAGATAGATACGGAATTGTGACATACTGATTTTGTTCAGCCAAAAAATATCAAGTTGTGCCCAAGCAGTGTGTACTTGTAGTGGAACTACTAGGATGTCTTCTTCTGTTTTAGGTTCCCTATACTGAGCCTTCCTCTGCATGGTCACCATACTTCTAGTCAACAATAAATAGCTGGGTCTCCCCTTCAGAACTTACTTGGACAGAGCTGTCTCTCTTGAGCAACACAAACATTCTCTGGGAGTTAAATTTGCCAGTTTGACCAGGGCTAGCAAAAGTGTATGCACCCTCAGAGCTTAAGTGATACATCGCCCTTGTGCAAGCCCTTGGCATGGGGCTGAATTTCATCTTCTGTTCCCTGCCACTGTAAAATCTGTTCTTTGAATGCAGAGTACCCAGAAATGTCTATTTTTGATGGCTAGAACTGCATTTCAGATCATCTTTTGGAATTAGCCTTTGCTGCCTTGCAGACTAGGAGAGAGTTCTTTGCCAGGGCTCAACCAACAAGGCTGTTGTAATCCAAAACTCAGTTTCCACTTGTCACCTTTAGTGGCTGTGAATTTTTATTTACTAGTGTCTGCTGCCAGAATCTCCCCTCTCCCCCTTCCCTTCCCCATTATTCTACATGATCATATCTTGCATTCATCTTAATCTGTGCATATGTTCCAATTCTCCACTATTTGGACAGTGGGTGGCGGGTGTGAGTGTGTGTGTGTGTGTGTGTGTGTGATTTTAATGAAAAATGATTTAAAAACCCTTTCTTTCTCTTTAAAGGCCAAATGAATCGGTTCAATCACATGCTGAATCAAATCCCGAATGATTACTATGCAAACCGCAATCAACCAGGACCTCCAGGACCACCAGGGCCTCCAGGAAGCGCTGGGGCAAGAGGAGAACCTGGACCTGGAGGAAGACCAGGGTTCCCAGGAACACCTGGTGACCAAGGACCACCTGGTGAAAGAGGTGAGTAGTGCTCAAAGAGCATATGTATGACCATATTTCAAAAGCTGTCAGCAGAGGAATGCAATGCAGCTGCACCGGCCAGAAAGGCCATGAAGCATATAGCTTTCCATAGCCAATTGAATTGCTCTGAAGGTATTGGTACAGCTGGTACAGTGGAATATTCAGTGTCTGAGGACAAGATCTAAAATTACAAAGATTTGCATCTACAGTGCTTCTCTCTCCATGTGGTATTTATGGAACACCAGTCACTACAGAGTCTAAATGCTATCTCAACTTTATCAAGATATCTTAGTACAGAGAACATTCTCTTCTCAAAGCTGTTTCTGCTATTAGCTGCATCTTCACAGGCTACTTTTCTGAATTGTCATCAGGATGAGGGGAAAATAAGATTCGTTAACAAGAATGTGGGGTGAACCGTAGCTTAGTGACACTGCAGTTGTGTGTCTCAGCTGAAGCAGAGTAATAGGTATATGGGAAATATATGATTAGATGTGCCAGTACACTTCAGGTGCTTTGAGCTGCTCTGGTGATGCAAAGTAAGTGTAAACTCAGTTTAAGTGCCTGATTAAGCCTGGGTTATGGCTGGTTTGCAATAGCATAAGGGAGCCAGGCTGTAACCAGTGAATCTGGCCCTCAGTTGTTCTGGCCATTACACTTCAGAATGTGTACACAGTGTTGTGTTTTCTAACATAGATTTTACTATAAATATTTACCACTTAAAAGAAAATAATGAACTTCTGAATCCAGCTATATGATAACATTGACTTACACTATTTCATTAGATTTTGAAGGATGAGTAAAGTGTATTTGTTACAGAAATGTACAAAGCTTGTATGCCTTTACTCATGTCGGTAGATGTGTGGAATGAACTTCTATCAAATCATGGGTGCCTCAAAGATGTTCCTATGTTTTCAGACAGTCTCTTCACACCAGGTTACCTCTGTACACTACATTTAAAAATCTTGTCTTTCAAACTGAGATGTTTGTTTCCTTAAAATATTTTCCTCATTCAAATTAAGACTTCCTAGATCAGAGCTATAAAGCAATAAACTATTTGAAGTATATGTTATAATCAATGAGAGCGCATGAAAAAATATAGTTTTCTGACATGGTTTCTTTTTTTGTGTGTGGTTTTTATTTCCTTTTGGATCTTTAGGACTGCCAGGAGAGAAAGGTGAAAGAGGGATTGGATCACAAGGACCACGAGGTTTGCCTGGACCATCTGGTAAATTTTCTGTTTTTAATTTACATCAGCTTACAGAACAGTAGAAGTAAAAGGGAACAAAACTTCCTAGAAAGTCAGATTGCTTAATTGCTCCTTATAGCAAATAAGCATATGTTACTCAATGCACTTTACATTTTTGACATGTATTGGAAATAAAGTGAAATGCTGAAAACTTTAACTAGAAATATTTTTTAGACATGGCTAGTAGAAAGTTGACTTTATCATATAATTTATTCTTCTGGCACATTGGCACATGAAAATATTTTTGATGAAAATACTGATTGAACCTTTATTGACTCAGTAATCAGGGGTTGATTCCTTCTGAAATGGACATTTTCTCACTTTTTTCTATATGATAGAAACAAAATATCACTTGATACTTTTGGAATGTCTAGTGCCATTGTTAGATCATGTTTGTAGTTACACTGATGTCCTTTAGCGGCAAAGCATAGCGTTACTAGTACAGAATATGATCCTTTCTCTGTTACTTTTGTTCTTTGTGCCATTTGATTTCATTTACTGATCATTTACTGATGTCTTGGCAGAAATAGTTAGGCTTTCTCATTGTTTCTGCCTTTAATTTACTAGTTTAAACATGATTTTTTCATTACAAGAGCCATAAGAAGCTTGCAACAAATTCTAGCCCCAGTTGAAACTCTACATTTCTGTTAACCATAATACAGCCTGTTCCAAAGAAAACATTACCTCATCTACTATAGGGTTGCAGGGTAGCAGAATTAATGCACTCCTATGTTTTAATTGAAATCCAATGTGCTTGTCTAATGTAGTAGTTTCCCTTGAGATCTTCATATCTTACACAGAGTGGAAATAAACCAGAGAATTCATTGATGTCTTTAGCGTGGCTCAAACCTTGCCAAATCAGTTTCTGTGAATAAAGACCTTAAATTAGCCACACATAGGAAAGCAACTAGTGATGAGTCACATTTTGGTTCTCTTTGGTTGTTTCATTGACCACATGTAGAACCAAATGTCAACGTTTTCTTACCAAAGGCTCGTTCATAGTCTAGACGCCAGTAGTGCCAGTGGTTTATGACAGGTTGACTCTTTAAAAAAATTATCTTCCTTTTAATTCTAAAATTAGGTCCACCAGGAGAGTCTCGAGTTGGCCCACCAGGTTCTACAGGTTCACGAGGGCCACCTGGGCCACCGGGTCGTCCTGGAAATGGGGGTATTCGAGGTCCCCCAGGCCCACCTGGTTACTGTGATTCATCCCAGTGTTCTAGCATCGCTTACAATGGTCAAGGATTCCCAGGTAGGTTATTGACAACTTAAACTGTAGTCATTTTAAATAGTCTTCACGGATGTGGAGCTGCTTAATGCAAGACAGGCCCGCTAGTGTGGACATACTGAATCATTTCAGGAGCAAGTGGTACTGAAACTGCTTAGTTGTAACATAACATCTTGGAACAGTTCAGTCCTTTTAACACAGATAGGTCTTAGAGCAGCTGTTCAGATTGTTATGCAAACTTGTCTCACATTGATTTGAAATGTGTTTAGCTTTAGGAAGGAGGTGATTAAATTATACAAATAACTGGTTTTTAATACATAGAAGGATTGTAGATGATTATTTTGCTGTTAGGATTTAAATGACCATTTTCTTCTTCTTCTTCTCCTCTCCCTCCCTCCAATCTTCTTCAGAACAAGGTTGAATACTCCATGTTTCTCTTGAAAAGTAAAAAGAACGCTCTGGTTGGCAATTTTTGTGTGTCTGTTTTTGGATCAACATCAGGATTATTTATACAAAATTAATACCAGAAATTAAAATTTTCCACAAACAAAAACTGTTCTCTGTTACAGTGCAAACAACTGAAAAACTCCACTATCCTACAATCTCCACTGAGTTAAACCCCATGAGTCTCTGATTAGCCCTGAGTCATGTCAGCCTCCTGCTGCGAGAAGCAATTTAAAACAATGGGCTGTCACAGGGAGTCAAATAATGGATGACAATGGCCATCAATTTCTGACTAATGAGAAGACACTAATATATTCTATACCTAGGGTCCTGCAGGGCCATTTTCATGAAGAAAGTCCAGGCCCACAGTATTGTTAACAAATTCATATGTGTGCACTGTAGCATTTTACAATTAGTGTATGTGATACTGATGTTGGATATGGTTTGCCACTACCATACTGTGCATGTAGACATGAAAAAAAAATATATATATATATATATGTGTATACAGACTCAGTACTGTTGGGTGTAAAAAGCCAAGTACTTGCACAGATCTAACCCAAGATTCCTGTTTAAATGAAAAAGAGCTAAACTTGTACCCATTTTGCAGCAGTGCTATCCTTCCTAGTGAACAGCTATGTATACATATATAGATATATGCGTATGACTTAACCATTGTGTATTTTAGTTGGATGACTATATTTTTGCACAGCAGTCTGACTTTTTAAAAACTAACATCATCTTTGACCTGTTTCAGGTTCCGGCTAACACATTTTCTAAGTCTCCAGTGCTGCTTACAGTTTGAATACATGAAAAACCTGTTTCTGAGATGTTTGCGCACGTGCTTAGTAGGAAATGAGTCTGTATGGATATTTCACCACGGATATGGTTAAAATCGAACCGTGTTGGCCTCATATAATACTAACAATATTCGTGAATGGCATAAGGACAGTGATGTCAACTCATTATCAAGCCTGTTGCATTTCAGTAATAAAGTAGAAAAACAACTATTTTTAACACCCTCCCCCCCCAAAATCATCAGAAGCCTCAGTACTGAAGGAGGCTTATAAAACTACTAACTAGCAGAAGTAACACCATTGTGGGAGACAGATTTAACCTGATAAACAAGAAATGACTTATGTAAATAGTAAACTAATTGTGGCTTGTAAATGATTTGTAAGGGATCGTGTCCACTAAAATCAGTTAACATCTTTACATTAAGCTTCTGCATTAAAGCCTGCTGCTGCTTGCTCTGTGCCAGAATAACATCTTTGACTCTGTATGAAATCTACCTGTCTGTTGCTTGTGATCAACATGTCTGATTCAGGGCATGTGCCTTTTTGTATATGTAATCTTGTTGGGTTTTGTAATTGCAGTTCTAAATACTAAAGTTTTATAATTATTTTTCTTCTGTTTTGCTGTAGTCTTTGGTGTTCCTCCAGCACCAGCTGTAACTCAGTCTGTTACGAGGAACAGCATCAGAAAATGACATGTACTGCATATTGCCACTGGTGATAGTTATGTGTACATTTATTTCCCACCCTCAGAGAACATTACTAGAAGCCAGTCAAACATTTTCTTTTTACGTAATCCATTTACTCTATTAATTAATTCATTTTTAAATCAAATCCAAGTATTTTTTTAGATTGATTGAAATAGATGTAAAAGACTATTTTTATTTTTTAACAATTTATTGGGCCCTTGCATAACACCTTAAGACTGTTTCTGCAATGTTTCTTGTGTTATAAAGAGCTGGATCCTAGAAGGCCTTTCAAAACCAAATCTCATTTTTCTTATCATTTTACTGCCTCTCCTGCTCCCACCCCCCAAAAAAATTCCATGAACGAAACTGAAAAAAAATCAGTGAATTATTAATTTAGACATTTATTATATGAAATTAAGCTTGAACTAACATTATGTAGCCAAACTAACTTTCATTATATTTGTGGATTCAAAGACATGCGATAACTATAATGTTCAATCAGACAACTATTTTCAACCAGAGTCATACGTACCTGAAAGTGGACCCTATCAACCTGAAAGTGAGCCCTACATAGTACCAATGGAGTCAGAAAGGAGAGAGGATGAATATGAGGACTATGAAGTTGAAATGCATTCACCAGGATTACCCTGAACAAATGTGCTGGAAAAGATCATTACCGAGAAAAGCAAAAACAAAACCATAAAAGATCTGTCTTGTTTTGTGTTTTTGGTTGTTTGTTTTTGTTTGTGCTATGCTCACATATGCAGATACATACAGAATGGGTGTATCCTATATTCTCCAATGCTACCTTCTCAAATCAGAAATGCACTCACATCTTGTAGGAGTATCATGCTTATGTGCGAATAGCAATGTATGTAACTATAGATTTCATTCTTGCTCTTGAAATGCTTGTAAAATACTTTTGCTTAAAGTGGCTGCTTAGAACTTAATGTGTGCATTCAGTTATCACAATGCTGCATTTTCTTTAAACAAATAAATTTAAAAAAAAAACACAAAACACCAAAAACCAGAGCTGCTGCAAATTTTCGAAGGGCTGTCTGCTTTAGCTCTACAGTTTTCCTCCTTTTATTGCCTGTTTGCAGTTAAGTCACATCACAAGTCTGCATTGTCTAGTAAAAAGCAAACCAACTCCTTCTACATCATTGCCAATTTTTTCTATCCTTAGTTATACCTTGCAGGGCATATATTGCTCTTATACATCTCCTTTAACAACCACAAATCTTAAGTAATGTAGCTGAAATCATTGTATCAACTGGATATCGTTTTATAATGCTTTAAATCTCCTTGTAGACTCATTAACATTTATGCCAAATTGCAGTCAATCCTGCAGAGATGGAATTGCATGTTTGTGTTGTATATTTAGTATGGATTTTTTTTCAGAATATAATGTTTCTTAGTTATCAAAAGCAGTTGGAAATTGTTTGCAAGACTATGGATATAGAATTGCTGCTTTTATATTTTAACTGCAAATTGTGAATTTCACTGCCTTATATTATTTATTTCTGAAACAAAGGAGGCATTTTTCAATAAAACTACTGAAAATTTACTTTGTATGATCATTTCTTGAATGGGGCCATGAGGATACAGACTTGTAAGTTACAAGAATGAGATGTAACAAACACACAGAGACCATTACATTTTCTTTATTAACTCCTCCTGATGTTACAGTGACCACAAATTATTTTGGAATTTTACTAGTGTTAAAACAGGTCCCTGAGGCTGTGACATTGGTTGATTGGGGGTGGGGGAGTGGAGTTTCTGGATTTAGTTGGCTCCCACCCTGTAGGGTTTTAATGTAATTGTCAATATCACTCAGCCTGTAGCACAGGTGGTGAAAAAACCAAAATGAGGCTCCGAGCTCCAATTGCTGCACCATCCCCTGTACCTCATTGGTCCCCATGAGACTAGTGGATGGGTGAGCAGCTAGAGAGGCCACTGGAGATTGAAGCAGAGGAATAATGGGGGTGAGAAAATTGCCGGATGCCTCAAAAGTACTCACTATGTGGCAGGCAGAGCATGGCTGGTGGTGGCTCCTGTTCCACCCTTAGCCACACGCTCATTGTGCTCTATCTACATATTTTAGGTGCCCATGAGTGTAGCATCTGGTTCAATGCCAATGGAAGTTAATGGAAAGATGCCCAAGGTGACACAGGAAGTTTGTGGCAGAGCAGGGAATTGAGCCCAAGTCTCCAGACTAGCACCCTCTCACCACTGGACAATCCTTGCACTCTAGTGGGAACAATATAGTGAAATTATATTTGTAAGGGCTTAGCTTTTAACAATTAAGCTTTTTTCCCATTGAATTTTTAGTGCCCTAAAATGCAAAATATACAACACAGCTATGTAAACTGCCAGGTTGGGTATATGGAATCCAAACAAGTGAAGTAGCAGAGATAGACTAGAATTAGGGCCTGTAATCTATTGGGAGTTTAGCAGGAGATCTAATGAACTGAGAAATGTTCAAAGGACAGTCAAAGACATCAAGTTCTTATGTTTGGTGTAACCCTTGAGTTGCAAAAGGTAAAGTATAAAAAAATGTGTTCTGCATGATAGTTTTCTATAAAGCATTACCTACGACTTGCAGAAAATGATTGATTGGAATTTAGAAAATTGACTGAACTATGTGTCTGTCTTGTATAAAATAATATAATTGTATAAAATCTTGCTTGCAGATTCAGGGATTAAATGTATCCCTGGGGAAAGCTTAAAAAGATGCCCAAATCTTCCATGAAGGTATTCCCATTTATCCACCAAATGAAAAGGCCCATAGCCAAAATATCTTATCTAAAGCACAGAATTAAAATTAGTTCTTTATTAAATATATTCAATTCCTGCCAGCTGCAGTGCGCAATAATGCCCATTCAGTAATGTCCTTTATTAAGACTGATCTTAATCTAGATGCTATTATTTGATTATCTGAAGACACAGAAGATTTAAGCATTAAATAAGAACTATATTTATGTCTAGTTAATACATTTTTATGATTTAATTCTATTCTCAGATCTGCAAGTTATTCCTTAAATGCATGGAAATCCCAGTAAAAAATATGAGGGAAACAGTCAAAATGAGTGAGGATCAATTCTATGAATCTGAAAGAAGGATTTTCCTGGTAATCATTATTTTTCAGACAAGATCAGCACAGGGCTTCTTCCATCTCCACAACAAAGGCTGAGAAAGATCTTCTCTTTCTGAAACTCACTTTTTAAGAAAAAAGACACTTACCAGCACCTCTAAAATTTGGGGGCAGTGATATGAAATGTTTGGGCTGCATTTAAATGAGTGTTTACTAATATGGCACAGCGAGAAGGAAGAAATTAAATAATATTTAAGAAATGTAGCCTCAGGGAAATGACCTTCAGGATGGACTGGATGTCATTGTGGTTTTAAGCTTCAACTTCTGGGGAAGTATTTGTGAAACTAAGCCATTCAGTTATAGAAACTAGAAAGACAGCATATAAAGCAAATATAAACAATCCTTAGTTCCTGAGAAACTCATGAACTTAATGTGCCAATTGCACAGTTTATTTAGTTTAGCAATTTTAAACAAGGGGATGGATTAAAGACACACTTCTAAGCTCATCTACATCTCTCTCTCTCTCTCTGTATTTTGGCAGTGACTGTGCATGTGTGTACAGGTAGGCAGCCATGGGCTTCCACTGATCTGAGATTAGAGTGGAATGTTTAGGGTGTGACCTTAGTGAAGAAAATAATTCCTTCCCCCTCCACCCACAAACACTCACACACAGAGAGCAGATTCTTTGTTGCATTCCTGATACCAAGTATAGGAGAAACTGCAAGAGCCCTGGTAATGCTGTCTACTTACAATGGCTAAAATTGTACACATTGTGACTGTAGTGTGTAACTACTGGTATGCAAACCAAATAAATAAAGGCAAAAGGGGCTCAGTGGCAAGGATGCAAAACTATAGCACTTCAACTGAAAGCCTGTTTTTCCCCTATTTTTCAGTTGCGTATTTGCAGTAATAATGATTTCTGAAGGAAAGCTGAAGGGAAGCTGAAGTGACTGTGAAGCTAAGACACTTAAAGGAGAGGAACATAAAGGAATACTGATTGATTTTTGCCACGTGCATGGCAGACACCACCATCTGCACCACACAGAGCTGCCATTGGAGCCCAGGCAGGCCCTTCTGGAGAAAATAAATACATAAATAAGTTACAGCTTGACATGAGTCAGCGGGGAGCCCAGGAACATTAATTCCAGACAGCAAAGTCCAATATAAATTTTACCACTGCAAAAAAAAAAAAAAAAATGTGCAAGGAACTACACATTCCCCAAAACTCTCCTCTGCTCTAGTGAAGAAAAATAAGACATTGAGATCCTGACTGTGATGTGGCTGAAAAACAAAATCAGAGCTAAAATGGCCACAGTTCTACACCACCTGGAAGAGAGTAGAAGCCCCAGGTGTTTCTTTGGATATAAATTGGATGACCAATTTTTAATGGCATTTTGGTTTGGACTTCCTACTAGACTATATGAACCTGCAGTATACTGATGATCAGTGGAGAACACTCATATTTCAAGTATCCAACCCCGAGGTGAAAAACTGGATTTTTGCAGCCATCAGGCAAATACAAAGTCTAAAGTGCCAAATTGTCTGTTCATTACAGGTAAAGAAAAGGAGCTTTTCCCTTTGCGAAACTAATTTAAAGATGAACAGTCATCTCTTTATGCGATATACAAATCAGTGTGAAACATGAAAAAATTCTGTTTTAGAGATTTCTTCTCAGTTGGAAACCTGTTAGCCAACATTCACTTAAGAGCAGTAAATGCAGAAACATGGATTCAATGGTGAATACAACATGAGCATTTGAAAATAAGAGAAGCATCTTATTTGACTTATCCTTGAACTTCTTTTCCTGCATTGTTTGAATTATAGGTTTTCATTCCACTGCTTTTGTTTTGTCGTGTGTTGGATAAGAGTAGCACTACAACTGTTGAACAACTGTTCATTGTTCCAAATTACACCTGAGCAGATGGTTAAAAAACTTGGGGTGAAAGCCCATTGAAGTCAAATTTGGAACATTCATTTGGGGATAAGACCCCTCAGCAGATATTATTTGCACTGTAATGAGGAAAGGCATTATCGCACGTATGAGCTGTGACCCACATTCTGCTCTCAGTCACACTCTTATTTTATGTTGTTACTCTGAATTCACACCAGTGTGTACCTGAGATCAGACTTTGGACCTGTCTATTTCTTTGGGCATGTGTACAGAGAGAAATGGTGGGCCATCTTCCTCATCCTGGCAATCTGCAGTGGATTTGCTTTAACGTTGTTTTTACAAGCATATTTTAGCTCACACTTTTGCTTATAATATGTGACTGTGAAATACTATTTTTTCACCCCCCAACTAGCCAGTCATGGACACCTCCAAGCTCTAGCTCATGACCCTTATGGTTCTTTCTTTACGTGTGAACTATATTTAAGCCTAAGCTAATAATTGTGGATGTGAACAGCCAAGATTTTCAGCAATCACTACTGATTTTGGTAGCTAGATCTCCGCATGCTCAGTTGAGACACCCAGGACCGGCTCTAGGCACCAGCAAACCAAGCACATGCTTGGGGTGGCACAATTCCAGGGAGGGTTTTTTTTGCTTCGGCATTTGCGCTCTCAGAGGGTTTTTTTTTCTCGGGGCTGCAAAAAACCTAGAGCCGGCCCCGGAGACATCTGAGTGACTTCTGATTTTTTAGGACCTGCTGAGCACCCAGCCCCTGAATATCCGGCCCCTTTAAGGTGTCTCAAAAGCAGGGCTTCCAAATATTGAGGCACTCACCAAATCATTGGTCCCTTTTGAAAATCGTGGCCATAAGCTATATCTTAAATGCTTCTTTAGTAAATAAATATTTTCATAATGTTAAACAATTCATAAATGAAGATGGAAAAAAATAAATAAAAAGACCAATAAGAAATAGAATCTCCTTTTCTGTCATTTTCCTAATATGTTATTCTTCAAGATACTTAAGCAGAAAATAAAATACAGAGGGAGAGGGATTATGAATGGCTACAGCTATGATGAAAGTAGAAAAGCTTCAGCTGTTCAGGAAATAACCATGAAAGGGGAAAGGAAAGGATATGTATCTTTTTTTCCATTAGAAAGGGCATCTGGCCAGTGCCTTCTACCAGAGACACCAGCCAGAATGAGTCTTCATTGACGTGGCACAATAATAAAGACATCTGTAAGTTTACTATTGATTATAATAAAAGTTTTCCTGTCTTGGATAAACAGACGTGTATAACTGATAAATACCTACAGTAAGAATGGTTTTACAGCTGTTAAAGCAAAACAGATGTGAGATGTTTATCAATTATAATGGTCTACTGTTTATGCCTCATAGCAGCTGCCACTGGAATGTTGCAACATATTGTTTAATATTTGCAGCTTTTTGGCTCCTTTTATGTAGATAACAGCAAATTATTCAAAATTTCTGTACACTGTACAGTACCTGGTTTCTGTTATCAGATCCTCTCACAAATCTCTTTTTCGGCACAGCTTTTCCTCCCCTCTCTTCCCCTTTTGCTCATG